TTCTCTCTTTCTCAACCGACCAAACCAATTCATTTCTCTCTCTCTCTCTCTCTCTCTCTCTCTCTCTCTCTCTCTCTCTCTCTCTCTCTCGTATTTGACTCAATGACGAGCTTGCCTGCAGCTTCACGAGCAGACGGGAGCTGGCTGTGTTCGGGGTTGTCCACGGGCGCTTGGAAGACTTGATGGTGTTTCGGGGGGTGTTTTGTGCGAGCCGTGCAGCAGTGCTCGGCTTGGTGTAGCTGCTGAGGCTGGTCGCGTGGTGTGGCTTGGCACGCAAGAATCTAGAGGTGTGTTTGTGTGTGCGGTGGGCTCCAAGCTGGACGCGTCAATCTTGATCGTTTCACTGATCGAATCGCGTGTCGCCCGCGCCTTGTAGGTTTAAGACCACCGAGGCGAGTCACCCACGTCCACACAATCATGGGCCGCAATACCAAACCAGTGGTTATCGTGTTCCCGGTCGCACCGGGCACCACCCCCATCGAGGACCTTCCTCTCCCCGTTCGTGAGGTGTCCAGTGCTGCCATTGCAGCTCACGCCGGTGCAGCCTGCCGTAGCCTGCTCGATCCTGCCAACGCCCAGCTCTACGTGCCGGACAACCACGGCCAATTTCGCAACCTGCAGGCAGGCGAACGTTACACGGCCATTCTTGATATTCCACCACCTGCCCCCCAAGCCAAGCATGAGCTCGACTCCCTTGATCTGGTTCGAGCCGAAGTCGGCCTCGAACACCAGCGTGCCCTTGAAGCGCGCACCGATGCCACGCGTCTGACCACCGAAGCCCCGCGCTTGGGCATCCTTCGCGTCATCCGCACGCGGGAGCACGCCGATTTTCCCTGCCACATCCTCGTGTGCACCGACGCCGTTATTGTCTGCGTGGACCTTCGTCCAACCCAAATCAGAGCAATTCTTGGTGATGCCACCTTCAACGCCATTCCCGGCCTGCCTGACGATTGCCGCGCCAATGCCACCGCACTGGCCTTGGCTGGGGCACTCCCGCTTGAAACCTTGATCCAGCTGTGCCACCCTGACGAAGCCTCTGCCAGCCATGAGAGTAGCACTGTCCCCCGCTCTGGCACCGCCAGTCCACACTCAAGCGAGGGATCATCACTACGTCGCCTTGTCCTCTCAGGCCATGGCGTCAGCGGCGCACTGGCCCACCTGGCCGCCGTCGTTGTACGACACACCGCTCGGCGCCTGGCCGACGACGAACTCCACGTCCACGCCTTTGCCACAGGCGCCGGGTCGCTCGTCAACACTCAGGCAGCCCTGGCCATCAACGATCGCCATCTTAGTGAACACCTCTCCTTGGTCCTGGGTGGAGATTGCATGCCCCGCCTTACCATGCTCTGTCTGATGCTGGGTGGTATTCCGGGCCCCATTCGTGCCGAGATTTGCCCCGGTCTTACTGACGTCCTGCTCCAACTGGCTAGTCAGCCCGTCCATAATATTCACACACACGCCCGTCAACTGGATGAAGCCCAGGTCCAGGCCGCGAGTCGCCTCCTCGAGGAATCAGACTATCGACGCATCGAACCCATGGTCTTTGGCAACTACGGCTTTCTGGAAGACCCGCATGCTCCGACTTTTGTCATTGACCCTGACCAGGCCTTCGACGAGTTGATGGCTGCTGACGTCTACCTAGCCAACGTGCGCAAGCACAGTCGAAGTCTTGCTTGGCCCTCACCGCCCACGGACGTCCTGGCCCCCGACGCTTCCGCCATGCCCTTCCCGCTTACCCCGGTCATCCGTGCCTGCCACGTCGTTGCTACCAGTGAACGCATGGACTTGCGCGTCGAAGGCGAGAACCTCGAGGCCATTCTCGGCCGCACCAGTCTTAACGGCCAGGAGCTGCACCTGATGGAGAGCCCACCGGGTGAATCCCTACCCGTGGCGCCTTTGATCCTGGCAGGTGGCGACCTCTTTCGCCCCAGCGCGGGTGGCGTGTCTCAAGTCATTGTCCGCATGCCCACCGCCCTGGATGGCGCCAAGTTTGTGCTCATGGGCCTCGAGGTCAATGATGATGGACATGCCCCCTGCCAGCTTTTGATTCAGACAGATTTCGGGGTCTCCACCGCCATTGAGATTACTCGTGACAATGTCAATGTGGGTCAAGACCTTGATCCCAGCTCCCTCCTGCACAATACGGCCGGTTATGACATCTTGCGCGAGGCGTTTGCTCGCTTTGTGGTGCTGGAGCACGCCCGCCTCGAACAAGGCGGCCAGCCCTTTTCCCGGCCCCCGGCGCCAAGCCTCAAGCCCCAACCGACGCATGCCATGGCCACCGCCATGTTCACGGCCTTTGCCGCCACCGGCATGAGCATGGATGGTGGCAGTGCTGCCGCTGGTACCGCAGGCAGTCCTGTCATGCGGCCTTCATCGGCCGTTCTCAGCCTGCTGGATGACCTCTTCGCCATCGAGGCCTTGATGCTGGGAACCCATACGCTAGAGTCAGAAGTGAAAGCCTTTGCCAGCAATCCCACCATCGAACGTGCCAAGCTTACCATGAACGTGGCCAGCCGTGAGCTCAATCGTGTGGCGAACAAAATTGCCACCCCACTTCAGCTGGATGTCCAAAGCGGTGTCAGCCGCTTCCTGCGCCGCGTCCTCGCGCGTTTGGGTCAGTTTGCCGGGGCTGTCTTTATGGTGGCGGCCGTGGTGGCGGCCGTGCCTGCGGCCGTGCTTGCCGCCCCCGCCACCCTGCTTTTCAATCGCGAGGCGGCGGAGCAGCCGATCCATACCTCGACTGGCCTTGCGCTCATCCCGGCCAGCATTGCCGCCCTTCCGGCTGCAGCTATCGGGCTGGTTGGCATGTCCCTCCTGCGCGTGGCTGCTGCCAGCATGCGCGATCAACCCAGTCGCCAATACTTGGCCGTCATGGAGCTGGTTCTGCACATCTTTGACCAGCCCACCACCAACGTGCTGGAAGAACTCACGAGTCTTGAGGATGCGCTCTGCGCCTACTGGCGCACAACATACGGCAAGGAGCTGCACGAAACGAGCCTGGGTGAGATTCAACAGGCCCTGCAACAAGCCGTCGAGGCCCAACGCCAGGACAAGAGCCACCCAGCACACATTGTGGCCAGCAAACACGCACGGGTCACCCTCTCCTCCCACATCAAGGTCATGGGCCACTTTCACCGCTTGCGTCATACACTTGGATCCAACCTCATGGTCACCTTCGTGGGCGTGCACAACGCTGGCAAGTCGACCTGCATCAACCGCCTCTTTGACATTGACACGCGGCCCGACATGCTGACGCGAACAGAGCTGCCGGGGGTCTACGCGCTTGACCCCAGCCGTTACCGCCAGGATCAGAGCACTGCCGCCGATGCCGCCACCAGCGCCACGCCAGAGCTGGCAGTGCACGTGGTGGATATGCCAGGCGCTGATGACGAGCACGAACACGTCGCTGATATGACGGCACGATTTGGCTACTGCTCTACGCTATTCATCTGTGTCTTTGCAGCCGGGCATATTGCTGGCGCCGAGTGCAAAATCGTCAATGATATCAAGCGCATGAATAAACCCTTTCTGGTGTTTATCAATCAGTGTGACCGGATCAACGACCTCCACAACAATCTCAGCGCCTTTCGCAGCACGTATGCGCTCACCCTCAACGTCCCTGAAAGCATCATCATTTTCACCTCCATGCGCGACGCCATGGATGTGGATAACGCGCGCTGCATCCTCTACGCTTCGCTGGCCCCCTTCGTCAAGGAGAATTTGCACGGCGCGCTGGCCAACATGCTGCTGCACCCCAAGTTCCGACGCGAGGCAGCACAGATTGTGCGCGGGCACTTGCAGCAGGAGGGCGACCCCATTGACCGAGCCCTCGAGCAAATTGCCGAATGTATTCTGGAAAATGAGCTCCCCTGCCACCCCAACAACGTGCAACACGCTTTGTCCCATCTTCAGGAACTACAGGCACAACACCGTACCGCTGTTACGCGGCAGGAGTCAGTGGACCGCCGTCATACGGCCTTGATTCAGTTCCTCAAGGGTTTGGTGCAAGATCTGAGCGTCGACGCCAACCTAGCCAATGCCCTCATTGAACAGGCCGCTACAATTGTGGACGACACCGATGCTTGGGCTTCAGCTCATGCGCACTTGCGTGACGTACTGGATGTGTGGGTGCGAGCCCGCGCCGCGCCCGCAGATGGCATGCTCATGGTCCTCTTCAGCTTCCTTGAGCCCATGAGCACGTTGATGCAGAGCGCAACCATCAAGCGCGAAGAGCTGACGGGTGCGGGATTGGATTTGGCGCCGGGCGTGGAGTTTGAGGCGTTGTTCCACTGGCTCCTCGAGCCGGAGCGCCTGGACCCGCCCAGTGCCTTTGTTTCAGAGGCTCAGGCATTGCAGCAAAAGAAGCTGGACCAAAGTCTGCGCAGCGAGACTTCCTTGAGCCTACAGGCCCCCATGCTCATTACCTTTGGGCGGGCCCGCCTGATGGACCAACTGCGCATCACGTCGGCCTTTAGCATTGGCAAACCGTCGCAGCCGCGAGACTACTACACGGCGGCAGAACTGGAGGCTGGAGCCAGCTTTGAGGAGCGCCATGCCATTTTCAAGGCGCATCTGGAACGGTACCAAGCAGCCAATCCATTTGAAGGCTTGGAGGTGGGCATTCCCGTGTCGGAGACCCAGCTGTGCCACGACTTTTTGCTCGGCCTTTCAAGCGAAGCCATCACTGTTAATCAGCTGCGGCACGGGCGTTTGACGGTCTCGATGGTCGAGTCGGCCAACACAGAGGATGTGGGAGGCGTGCTACGCTCGGTCATTACGCAATGCGCGTTGACTCTCACGGATGGCGATTCCCCGTTTGCTGAAGTGGAGCCTGGCGTCGTGTACTTTCGAAAAAAGCCGGTGGCCCAGATGGATGACTGGCTGCGCGGTCTGGGACGACTGTTGGGACTGGCCGTATGCCGGGATGACGTGCTGTTCCCGGTCCCCTTTCCGCTTGCCCTTTTCAAATTACTGCTGGGCCAGACGCTGCGAATCGAGGATCTCGAGGCCTTCCGTCCCACGATTGTAGCCAGTGTCAAGTGCATCGGCCAGATGAACGAGCTGGACGACATGGGCTTGACGTTCAGTGTAGATGACGACACTGGCGATGACATTGAGCTCATGGAGGATGGGGCCAACGTGGCTGTAACACGCTTTAACCGGAACACCTACCTACGACTCTTTGTCGAGTATTACCTGGGCCGCCACCTGCCCCTCCTACAGCTTGTGCGCGGCTTTCACGATGCGTGCCCGGCGCATCTGGCCTGTATCTTTTCGCCAGGCGAGCTGCAACAGCTAGTACGGGGCAAGCCCGACATTGACGTACAGGACATGATTGAAAATATGCGGGTTGCATCTCCGCGACCAGACGCGGCCACGCTTGACTATTTTGTGACCGTCTTGGGAGAACTCACACCGGAGCAGTGCTCCAAATTTCTGATATTCACAACCGGCAATGCAGTCCCGCCGGTGCACGGGTTTGCAACGATGCACCCGCCCCTCTCTGTTTCGGGCAGTCACGCAAGCTTGGTTGACTCGCTTCTCGTCAGGTATGTAGTGCTTGCCCAGGCTTGTCTCACTCAATTCCTCTCATGCCACTGCATTTCCCTCGTGCCACTGCCTTTTACATTAATGTCTTAGTCATACATGCTTCAACAGCGTGGAGCTGCCTCGCTATACGTCGCTGGAGGTGTGCCGCGAGAAGGTTCTCTTCTCCATTAGCAACGTCAATGCGGCCGACCTTGGCCGTTGGTAGATCCCATGGCTCTTGATGACTAGCCTTGATCGTGACTTCAATCGGCTTCAGGTCCTCGATTAAATTTATCATTTTGCGCGAATGCATGTCGACGCCTCCCAATCTCGCCGTTGGGGCCGTGATTGATCCCCCATAGCAAAAAAAACAAACAAAAAAAAACAAAAACCGCTCACTGGCACAACAGTTAGATGGAACAGCCGTTTTCACCGACCCATTCAAGCACAAGAACTCACACAGACAGACAAAGTCAACGCAACGTACTTAAAGCGTGACCGTTGTCACACATATAAGCTTACAATCACTTGGTGTGTGCATGTTCGAGTTTTTTTTTTTTTTTTTAGGTGTGTGTGCAAGTGATCAAACGGCATCGTGGGAGGGTGTCCCGGCTGGCGGTGGACCCAATTGGGTGGTTTGGTGAATGCAGGATCACTTTTTGTGAAGGTGTGGGATTACTGAAGGGGTCTGGCTGACCAATGGGTGGAGGCCGATGGGGCTTGGTCCCGAGGCAGGGTCGGATTGCGGCGTTGGTGCTTTTTGAACATTGGTCACACACACGCGCGTCGTGGGCATGTCTGGGCTGTCAAGCGCATCATGTCTCCTCGCTGGCCAACGCTCACACCCGCGCTTATGCTCTTTGGACGCATTCGTGGCCTGTAGGAACCTACCGGCCCATCTAGGCCGTGAGCTTGTGACCGGGCGGAAGCGCTGTCGCGCGCGTTCCGTGTCCCTCTTGCCCCCCTTCACCATGGCGCAAGGTGACTTGCGCGAAACGCTGTTGCTGGCCATTGTGGTCCTAGCCCTGGCTAGCAACATGCTGCACATCTACATGAAAGACCATGAAGCCTACCCTCATAGCCGAGACTTGGAGATCCCACATGCTCGCCGGGCTGGAGAGCCCCGTCAAATGCCTCTGCCAGGCCAGGCGAACCCTTTGGTGGACGATGATTATGATGAATACGACGGGCCAGTAGAACCTGCACCTCCTCAAGGTGGTCGGTTCCAAAAGAAAGTGCCTGCACCGGCTCCTGCACCGGCTCAAGAGCCACCTCCGCCGCCACCGCCACCCCCAGCTCTTGATGAGGAGACTCGCCGACGCGACGAGGAGAAGTTGGTGCAGGACATGCTGCACTTTGATGAGGCTGCTGAGACCGAGACTGATCTCATCTTGGCGGAGGGGCCTACCGAGCGCATCTGGCTGTTCAATGGCGATCCCACGTCCCATCGCTGTCTCACACGAATCTCAAACAACCAAGTCTTTATGGATTGGTGCATTGAGAACCACTTTGACAAGCAGCAGTGGCAAGCCCGCGACAAGGGCACCTTGGGTTTTCGCACGCCAGAAGGCGAAGCATTCTGTCTCACTGCCAACGAGCGAGTATGTTGTTGTGTTTTGCAAACCTGGTGCCATCTGTTCATGCCATAATTTTTTTTTTTTTTTTTTTTTTTTTTTTTTGAGGCGGGGTGGTGTTTCATCTTTTTGCTGATCATGTCCAACCAGCTCATTCTGGCTCTGACTTTGCTGGATCTGGCCGCCTGTGGCTTTGCTTCTTTCGAATAGCGACTCAAAACAGCCAAGTGCATCAGCAGCGACGAGCCGAGCCAGGTCTTCGAATTCAAGCCCAGCGTGGGGCTGGTGCACGTCGCGTCGAACCTTTGCGTCACGGCACCGGGCCTATCGTACATCGAGGCTGTCTTGACCCCTTGTGCAACTGCGCAAAAGCAATGGTTCATGCGCGTTAACAACAACATTGTGCCCATTGGATTTGAGCCTTGGCTTCTCTACTTTGCTCGTCGTCGCAAAGCAAACATGGACAAGTACGGTTTAGAGGTGCGCCAGGTCATGAATGAGATTGCGACTCGCCCTCGCCCCAAATACATCCACCGCCGTGTGGTCGTGCACTTTGCGGACGATCATCACTTTGGCGCTCAGCCCCAGTTTCGCGTACGTTCTCGTGTCACTGCTCTGTTGGCTGCCCCTTGCCTTTTGTTGTTGTTGTTGTTGTTGTTGTTGTTGATGTTGCCTGGCCTCCTAGCTGCTGGGGAGTTTCCGGCCACTCTTGGCTCTAGGCCGAGCGCCCACACTCATGCCCAATGTCATATGAATCCTTGCAATGCGTTTGTAGTGGTGGGTCAAAACATGGCGCGAGCTCAAACTCAACGAGCCGGACCAAGCCATGGACGTTATTATCTTTGGCGGCAAAAAGGTTTTGAGCGGCATTGGGCACGGGTGTGAGTTTGTGACGCTCAAGGAGAAGACCTCCCCGCCCCCCGAGGGCAGCCCCGGCGTCTGCTGGCTCATTGAGTTTGCTGGTGCCGCGGAGCGCGAACCTGAAAACTACGATGGTTGGTTCAACTCGGTGGAAATTCTGGTCAACAAGGACACGCGACCATTGCTTGAGCAATACGAAACTCTGCTACGCGCCGACGCGGACACCTTTCCCTCCCCGCGCTTCCGCGACTACTGGCTGGATTACGTGTACATGGGTGAGAACGCAGCCTACTCTACGCGTTACGCTCGGCACAAACTGGCCAATGCAGCGGCAGCCATGGGCCTCAATTACAGCTCCGTCACCAACATTGCATCAACCTACTATGGCCCTGCGCACGACGTTCTTAATATTGCTGCCCTTACCGTGGCAGCGGGCAAGTTTGCCCGCTACTTTCTCTTTGCCGAGGGCACACCCTGCAAGCTACCCCTGGGCTTGCGCCCCAAGGATGCGATGTGCGAGTGGGGCTCGGGCCTGCATGAGGGCGTCATGCTTCTCTACTCGCAGGACATTGCCGTCAACCATCTTCTGACCACCGATATCGACATTCGACTGCACCCCAAGTCGCAGTACGATGCAGGAACAACCAATCTGGTTCACCCGTGCACCTTTCTTATGTATCATATTTATCATGGCGCTGAGCGATTCTCCAAGTTTGCCTTCGCCTCAAACAATTATCAAAACGTGAGTGCTCGTGCCCGTTTTTAGTTTTTATTTTACTTTATTTTTCCCCCTCCTTGTCCTTGTGTCTGTGTTTTTTCCATTGCCCTCGTTGTCCTGGTATTCTCGTTTGACCGGGCGTCGTCAGTTATTGCCCTGGCTTTGCCCGCCCGCTGTCGTGTCGAATCGGTCCTCTGCTTTGATTTGACACGCTCACGCGGCTCTGGTGGGACCGTTGCATCTTACAGTTGGACATGGCCGACTTTGATTTGAATACGGTCCGTGATTACACGACGTGGTTGGCGTTGACCGCCAACAATCAGGGCAAGAACGGTGACATTCCTTTCGAGAAAGTTGGCCGCGATCTGAGTAAGTTGTGCGATAACTGGAAGGAATAGGCGCCAGGTCATTCCGTGTCCAAACAAGTTATTTTGTCTTCGATGGCGACATTGTTTTGCTTGCTTTGCCTGTCGTTCTTCGCTGAGAAGTTTTTAAAATTTACACAGATGCGAGGCTTCTACACAGTGCCTCGCATCTGTGTCATCATGCTGAGATGAGCTGCAAGAGTGACTGGCAAAGGACGTTTGCTTTGTGAATTGAAACCAAAGCGTTGCAGTCATATTACTTGGCTCCGTGTGGTGGGTCAGACTCTGCGACCCCCTGCACACAGAATGCTTCCCCAAACCGGCAACAGAGAAAAAAGAAAAAAAAAAAAAAAAAGGAAAAGACAATGACGAGAAGAAATAAAACAAGTTAAATCAAGACGAGGTCTGGGCTAAATTGGTGGAGGATGCTAACATTGCTATTGAAGCGTACAACTGGAGGAATTGAGATATTCAAGCTTGGCAGCAGCCTCCTTCATGATGGCGGCACCTTCTTCGCCCAGTTCGGAGAGGGGAATTTCGCGCCCTTGCTTTAGACAATCAGCATAGAGTTCACGAGCGCGACGCTCGCCATAGTATTCCGTGTAAGAGCCGCTTGTCTCATTGAGTTGCGCCAAAGCAAAAGTGGCCGTTAGGCGCCACACGGGTTGCTTGGCGTCAAGCGCGCAAGCGGCCTGTTCTTCGCGGAGCCGAATTTGCTGGTTAAAGACATCCTTGTCACCGCCAAGGTAAGCACTGTAGCCTTCGGCATGCCAAAGCGCGAGCTGATCGGCCATGATACCACAGGCTCGGGCTTGTTCCTTGGGCTGACCAATGCCTTTTGCGGTTTTGCGGTACAACTCCAAGTATTCCATGGCTGCATCGCGTTGATCGCGCACCAAACAGACGTGGCCCAGGCCACGATAGGCCTTGAGATTGATGGACCGGTCATGAAGGGCGCGCCCCAGAGCCAAAGCATGCTCAAAGTGCTCCACGGCACTACCGAGGTGTCTGACAACAGCCGAGGCCGACTCCTCCGGGGTGGGGGTCGGTGTGGTTGTTGTTGCGGGTGGGTCGGAGGTTGAATCGTGCAGTTTGGCAGATTGAAGAATGGGGCTCTCGCTGCGATCGCGACCGGTCGCCAGATCGTAGTAAATGCCTCCAATCGTATTGTGTAAGCGGGCAATGAGGGTTGGTTGCTTGCTTTGCTCTGCCAGTTCGAGCTGGCGTTGAGCGACGGTAAGCACTTGATGCAAGCGGCCTTGCTTCTTGAGAAAGTTGGCAATGGCTTGGCAGGCCTTGAATTCCGCTTCGGTGTTCCCATGCTCCGAAGCAGCCTCCGCGGCCTGCTCAAGCAGCTGGACGGCCTCACGCCAGTTGCCCTGGGCTGCGTGAGCCTGAGCGTCCTCCCACAAATGTTGGAAGTTTGCCCCCACTTGCCCTATTTTTTTTTTTTTTTTTTTTCGGAACACACGTGAAGGCCGTGCAGGCAACGCATCAGGTAAGTTTAACCGTGTCAGAAAGGCTGGCTGTGCTGCGATAGCGCCAGGCATAAAAAAAAAAAAGCCAATGCTTTGGGTGGAGTGCAGTTGCCTGCACGGGGGGTGTAGGCACGGGCAGGAACGCACCCGTCGTCTGACAGCCGATATCGGCTGCAAAAACGTTTGCTTCAAGAGGCTGGCTCATGGTGGTGGTGGTGGTGGTGCGGCAAGCGTATGTTGACCTTCAACTATTCAAAGGGTTTCAGTGCGCACGGGCGTAGACTGCCATCTATAGCCACTCGAACGAGACGGCAAATCGGCCGCTCGCGTCCGACTTGCTGGTCAGCATTGTCCAGCAGAAAGCCGACCAAACGCCTGCGGGCGAAGCACGCGGCCATCAACAATTATATGATGAGGTTTGGGCCACACGAAGACCGGCGGTCCCCTGCGCACCATGGCAGACACGCCAACAAGCCGGTCGTCTCAATCACAAACCCGCCTTCCGCAAGCGCCGCCTGGCCTGGCTCCGCAATGCCTACAACACTTGCTCAGATCGCCAACCCCAGCTCAACTGACCTCCGAGAACCAGAACCGCCCAAATGATGCGTCTGCACAAATAGAGAGAGAGTGTGTGTGTGTGAGAGAGAGAGAGAGAGAGAGAGAGAGACAGAGAGAGAGACAGAGAGACAGAGAGACAGAGACAGAGACAGAGACAGAGACAGAGAGAGAGACAGAGAGACAGAGACAGAGACAGAGACAGAGACAGAGACAGAGACAGAGACAGAGACAGAGACAGAGACAGAGACAGAGACAGAGACAGAGACAGAGACAGAGACAGAGACAGAGACAGAGACAGAGACAGAGATATCTTTTGCCTCTTTTCTTTTGTTCTCTGCTTATTTCCAGTTACACACATACTACACGTAAGCAAAAAGACTGCTCGCACCTCTCTGTCTCTCTCTCTGTCTCTCTCTCTGTCTCTCTCTCTCATAATTTGGTGTGTATGTATGGCAGTCGCAGCAGAAGAACGAAACGACGGAATGGCGGTGCCCACCGCCGTCACTGCGGGTCAGGGCGACGGCGAGACTATGCTGTTGCATGAGACGGTGCTTCAGTGGAACGATGCTCTTCTCACCGCGACCTTCCGCCCGGTACGGTGGCGCGTGTGTTCCAGCATGCTCCTCTCACGCTCATCATCTGGTCCAGCTCAAATGCACCCGCTCCCCTTGATGGCGAGGGCGCGGTATCTCATCTGTGAACTCACGGTTTCTAGGCCCTAGCCAGTCTGGATGGGACTGGGCTCGCAGCCATTGAAGGTGCGTGCTCGTTCGCGTGCTCCTCCTTTGGCCCACTAGCACCGGGCTAGCTGTTGTGGCTTGCCTTTGCCCTGTCGTCTCTCTCGAAGGGCTCACCAACGACGTGACACTCTTCATTTCCATCGTCATGCAGATCGCTGCTTGCAGGCCCAGCAGTATTTCGATCGATGGTGGAGGTAAGGGGGATGCCACGCCTGCCAGTGCTGAGGATCGACACATATGCCTGGCTCACCCGCTGACGATCCCTTCGCCGTTCCCTCGGTAGCGCTCTGTTCAAGCAATGCCGCTTGCCATACGCTGCCGTGCAGTTCAAGGATCGGCACGCCCTTCCTTTTCACGTGCACACCGTGGGCCAGGCTGGCCCCCATGCCCAGACCGATGTGCTCCTCCTCGCTTCGACCGCCGCACAATGCCGGCTATTCACGATGCGCGAAGGCGTGTTGCTTTCCCGCTCCACCTTGCAGCCATGTACTCTGGACAACCATCACAATTGGGGTGGACTGGCCAGCACCGACGATGAGCAAATTGCCTTGCGATGGACCAGCACAGGCTTGATAGAGGCTTTCGATTTAGAGACGGGCACCCGCTTGGCGCAGCTGGCCCCAATGGTCATTGATGAGCGAAGCGTGGCTGAAACGAGCCGCTCCGACCAACCTTTACCCACACACCACGATGGTTGCCTGGTGGATGTCCACGGTCTCACCGTCCAGCGCGGTGCTCACGCCCGATACCTACTTTGCTCCCTGCGCTACAACGGTATTCTTGCCGTGCACGCCCTTACCCCGGGCGCCGTTGCCTTACGCACCGAGCTTCTTCACACAATCAATCTGCACCACCTTGGGTTGAGTACGGTTGGGCGCCTGACCATGAATGGTCCCACCCTGACCCTTTATGGCTTTTCCCATGATGGGACTCTCGTGGTGCGCCGAGGCCGCCTCGTGCAACAAGCTGGGCGAGCCGAGCTCGAGCTCCGCGACCCGGAAGCCGTCATGCCCTCAAATGTTCTTCGCCGTCAGCTGACACCGCAGCTCATTCTCTCCTACTGCCGCACAGAGCAGGCTGAACTTCTTCTTCTGCAGGATGGCACACTGCTGATCCTCAAGGGCTCCGGCTCGGCTCAGCACGTTGATCTCTTGCGCAACCGAGCCACCTGCCACCTACCCCATGTGGAGCCCCTCGAACGTGACCACAGCTGGGCTGGTCCTCTTCAACTGTGCCCCGCTTTTGGCGATCTCCTCGCCGTCACGTTTGCATCGGGTGGCTGTAAACTTTTCTCGCTGCCTGCCCTGTTGACATCAAATGCAACGCTCTACGAAGCCCTGGACCTGGATGATGGATTCTTTGTGCTGCCCACAGGGAAGCAGTCTGATCACTTGTGCACTTTTGCCGTGCGAGACCCAGTACTCGTGAACAACGCCACACACCAGCAGCAGGCTGCCGCCCTGGATCCAGAGCAGAGCCTTTGGCGTCTTCCCAATTGGATTGTTGATCGCAGCTTTGATTATAGCTTCACGGCTCAGCTGCACGCACAGGTCATCAGTCGCGTGACCCTTGCGGAGCTTCTTCGGCGCAAGATTGCTCAGAACCAGTTCTCAGAAGCTCTGCAACTCGCACGCATGCACGATCTGCCGACTGACGACATTTACAAGCTGCAGCTGAACTTGCATGATGTCCGTGGCTACCAAATTCAGGACATGGTGACGCACATCACGGACAAGCTCTGGGTTTGCCGCTTCCTACAACGCGCCGAGTTTCAAAGCATTGCAGATGGCCTCGAGCTCTACGCACATGGCCTCCAACTGTCTCGGCGTCAGGAGGCGGTCCCCTCGAGTCATGACTGGAGCGCACAATTTACGTTGCTCTCCGCTCGCCTGCGCACGCATCAACTTGTCCTTGAGGCTCTCAATGACGACTTTGATTACGCCCGCTTCATCGCCTGGCTGGCCACACCTCTAGCCCAGCTGGCCGCCCAGGCAGCAGCCCGGGGGCAGGTTGACGTCTTGCACATCCTGTTTGTGCGCCATCAAGCCTGCCTGGCCGAGCATCTGCCGCTAGTGCTGAAGCAACTCCCTCTGGTTATGAATCCAAAACATGCCGAGCGCCTCATGCCACGCATTTCCCGTGATGGACAAAATTCTATTGAGTTTGTCAAATACAAGCCATGGGCTGAGACCGAGGACGCCCCGCCGCTTGTACCCTCCACGCGTGCTGCCTTGTCACAACACGACCTCTTAGCCGGATGTGTTGACGACTTTCAGGCTACACACCTCCCGCCCCTGACCGAGATTGAATCTTTCTTTCGGGCACGAGTACACGCTCTTGATGACGCGTGCCTTGTGCAGTTGGCCTTCACTTGGGCTGCAATGGCTGTCGGCCGAGGCTTCACTGGACTGGAAGCCGACCTCACAGCTCTGCAGCTTGTTGCCGCATTGGTGGCCGATGACAAGCCTGGGGCAGTGATCCGCAATGCCCAGGAATTTTCCGGGGCCAGCGCCGGCACCGTAGTCACGGCGCTGCTTCCTACGCCGGCCATCATTGAAAATTCCGAACGCTGTGGTCTTGAACTCCAGCAACGCTTACTGCCTTGGTTTGAATCCTCCCTGCATGGCGGCAAGGCAGCCCTGTCCAAACAGCACGCAATGGCTGCTGCTATCGAGACACACACACAGCGCATTCCCTTGTGCCAGGCGCTCGCCGATGCCAAGTTGGTTCGCCGTCTTTTTCCAGACACCAAGTGCCGCACGCGGCTCTACCAGCAAGTCATACTTCATGATATCGTGCCCGGTAAATTAGGATCGCCGCCGCTGCCGCTTTTTTTTGGCTCTGATCAATCTTTGTTTTGACTGGTTTTACCCTCTGCCTGCCTTCTCACGGCACCTCCGGGCTGTTGAATGTGTGCAGAGAACAAGTGGGAAGAGTTGGCCGTAGTTGCATTTGAAGAGGACGAAGCACGTGCACACTGGCAGCATGTGGCCGAATGCGCTGCCATGTTGGCAGAGCTTGGCCAGTGCGTCAGCGCCAACACCGTGCGTGGTTGGCAGCAAAGCCCAGCATCGCAGCAGGAAATGCACCTCACCCGTCTACTTCGACTTTCCATGGGCTCCGCTCTCTCCTGGACCGCGCGCTATGAACGCTTGGAGGTTTTGCGTCAAATTGTGTTTGCCTCCGTGCCTGCGAGCCACTTGGATGCACGGGTGGTAGAATTGGCGCTGATGGATGGCAGCGCCGATGGTGCGCAGTTGGGTCAGCTTTTGTTGCCCTTTGCCACCAATTCCTCTGCCCCCTCTGTGATTGGTGAGGGCAGCTCGAGCCATGAAGCCGGGACAACAGCACGCTCGCTCTTCGAGCGCTCATGGCGAACTGCGCAGCGTTTGGGGGCAGCAGCGCGTCAGGGCGTGCATCGTGCCCATCGTGACTCTGCACCAGCCAATGATGAGGCAGAGGCGGAGGCGGAGGCTGTCCAGGTCAAAGAGCAAACGCGAATGACGCGTGAACAAGGTGCACAAGCCATTCTGAATGCTGTGAGTGAGCTCGTCAGCTCGGCCTCTGATTTTGACCAACCTGACGTTAAGCGAGCAGAAGCCTTGCTGGCTCTGGCCCCCGCATCGGAGCCAGCTATTCAGGCTTTTCGAGGTCTTGTGCAGGGATTCCGTCTGCTTCGCCAGTATGGTTTTCAAGCCTTCCCCCACGATGTCTTGGCGGCAACCGATCGCATGCACTTCCTGTTGGAGGCCATCGAGCAAGGGCATTTGTCACCACGCACACCACAACATGCTCTTAAAGTGGCGCAGTTGATCGGCCTGGACCGCCACGGTATGTGTGGCCTTCAACCCTCTCCTCTCTTGTGCAGATGCTGGTTGCCTGTGCGCTGTCCTTAGCCTTCACTTATTGACCTGCGTTTCGCCACTGCTATGCCTGGGTCACAGACGAGTTGCATGTGGCATTGGCGCGCAAGGCCTTGACTTCAGGAGATGTGATGACGGCCGTCACTCTCTTGCCTGCCAGCTGCGAAGATTGGGAGGTAAGTCGGGTTTGACCGTTCCATTTCTACTTGTCACGTGATGCAACATTTCAACTCACCTTTTGCCGATTGACCTAAATGTCTTTGGGCACAGTTTTTGACGGACCTGGCCCACGGCTTGGTGGCGGAAGCGCCACGCGAGGCCGTGCCAATTCTGGCTCGCGCGCTGCTGCTGGCCCCGGCTGCTCAAGTACGGGAACTTGTGCGCCTGCAGCACCGCGTGGACGCCACCTTGCTCGGCCCCAAAGGGCGTCCAGTGGCGACGTTGGACCGGTCCACACCGAAAGGACTTTGTGATGCCATGCGTGCGGCGTCTGCGGAGGACTGGTTAGCCTTTGCAACCCACATGTTTTCCAGTGATCCAGCCGCAGCACTGGCTGCATTGTGTGAGCACGGCGATGCATCTGCCGCGCAAGACTGCTGGTTCGAGCTATGCCGTGGGGCATCTGAGCTCAAATGGGCCTTGGTTGGAGCGGCACGCCTGCACACGCCACAGGATCACGACCTTTTTGCCTGGGCTCGCCACCAAAAAGAGGCGTCGCGCACCGAGGATTTAATAGCGCAATACCTGCCAGATCTTCAGGAGCGTGCTCAGCGCGAATCCAAAGCGGAAATGGTTGCAAGCTTGCTGGCTCAGCATGGCACGGCCACGGCCGCCTCGCAGGACGTGTTGGTGCTGGCGCAGCTTTTGTTGTCAGAGGAGAATGTTTCCCGTGCTGTGCAGGTGCGTTTGTTTGTTCGGTTTGTTTGTTTGTTTTTCTTCTTCTTTTTTTGAAGATCAGTTTATCGGAGCCATGTGCACACTTTCGCTGTGGCTCCGCTTGCTCATGCTGGGCCGGGTGTAAGACCCGGTGTATTTGCGCAAAGCTCTAACGTCTGTGTAACATGCTGGTTGCATGCTGTCGATGAACGTCCAGGGGGTTGTTGTGGCGCACTGCAAAGAAAACACGCGTTCTGCGGCGCCTCTCATCGCGCGATTTGCCCAGAGCACTACCCTTGCGCAGGTAAGTCAGGTTGGCATCACCTGACGTGGCTATCATGATGGCGGTACTTTCTGGTCCTCCCTCAACCGCTTGGCCCGCACGATTGCAGGCTCAGGAGGCTGCGGAAAGGCATGGGCTGGATGCGGCCAGCTATGTGCGGCTGCTTGAGCAGATGAACACCGACGACAGCGTGGCATCTGAGGTACGTGCAGGGAAAGAGCGTGTCTTGGTGGGTGGGCAATTTCAGGGAGAGGCAGGCAAAGAAAAAAAAAATATGAGAACAGAGTGGGAGCAACGGCCCACGTTTCGCCGCAACGCCCCTATTCATTCTCACATGACTACTTACTGTTCGTATATTTGGGTTTAGCTTTTGGTTGCGCAAGTCCTTGCCCAGCGCGACCGGCTGGCCGTCGATGTTCAGGTTGGCTGGCATTGCCTGTGTACAACTCCCCTTGTGATCACACCTCGTGTGCCCGTTTCGTGTTTTGATCGACGACATGGATATAGGCGGTGCAGGCCGATAGCTGTGGATTCATTCGTGACTGGGCTCAACAAAAGGGTGTTGAGAGTGCTGTGCATTTGCTTGACGATTTGTCCAAGTCACTGCCCATCGACCGCCCAATGGTAAAGTTTTGCTCGTGCATCCGAATAAAAAGGAAAGGGTTGTGGGGTTTCTCCTTTTATTTTTTTTCCTTTGTCCTCTTCTTCTTTCCTGCTTTCTGACCAGAGTCTCGGGAAACCCTGATGCGCTTAGGTTTTGGCTCGAGTTCTGGTGGACGTGTGCTCGCGAGACAGCCCTAGCGTGGATGAGGAGGGTCGATTGAATGACGCTTTTTTGCGCAGCTGGGAGGAATGCATGCGCTGGCTCAACGCACAAGGCTCGTCGGTCCTGGCCGAGGTGGGTCAAGCCTGCTCCTAAGAATATGGTTTTGTATTGGTCTTGTGAAGGGGGGTCGGTCTTCGAATAAGGTTGGGGAGGTAGGATCTCATCATCTGATGTGCAGGTCACGTGAACCTGTGACATCAACCGCAAAAATGTGGCACACCGCCTCTCAATAAGCCTTGCCAATGTTATTGCTGCCCACGTATAGTTTGTCCCTTTGATTTTGGAGGAGACTTTACACTTGTGGCCTTCGCTGGCGCAACAACATGTGCTCGAGCAGTTGGCGAAGCGCCTCAGGAGCCAGCAGGGTATGAGCTTCACTGGTTTATGGGTGCAACGGGAGATGTGACCACGAGCATATGTCTCAGTTGCAATGGGGTGCTGGCAGGTGAAGGGTTGGACGTGCTGGCTCAGCGCATCGATACACTCCGGCAACGCGTCAAAAAGCAAGCCACTGACGAGGTAAGCTATCAAGCCGTCAGAAGCTGGCTGTGTGGTAAGCGGTCCAATTTTTTTTTCTCACGCTTCTCCGTCGCACCTGAATGGTGTCTCTTGTGCGGTGAAGGTGGCGCAAGAGCTGAAAGCGCTGCCAGATGCATCACTTCTTGAGTTGTACAAAAGCGACATCAGTGCGCAGGGCGTGCTTTGTGTCTTGGTGGAATGCGCCGCTCGACTAGATTTGGACGTGTCTGCCAAACTGTTACAAAAACTGGAGAGCGAGCACGGCAAGCGGGCGGGTGAGATGAGCCAGTGTGTTCGGCACACACAGCTAGTCGCAGCCTTGTTGCGACGACTTCAGGAGGCGGACGAGGATGCAAGTGTGGCAGCTGGAGTCTTGGGACGGGTTCTACCTCTGGTCGCAGAATGGGACGCGTTGTGCTACAATCTGGTGACTACCGAGCCGCGCTTGGTCAGGCTATACGCGACACCTTTGCTCGAGGTGCTCCCATTGTCTGCGGCAAACCAGGTGGCCGTTGGCCTGGCAAACGAAGACGAGCCTTTGCTGACCGAGTGGCCGGAGACACTGCAAGCCTGGGCCGAAAGACAATTGGCAGCTGCCGTCAACTGGGCACAACGGGTGCAAGTGATGGAACGCGCAGTGGCAGTAGCCCAGCGGTGGGGTGCGCAGCATGCAGTGTTGGTGTTTAAGGAGTGCCAGGCTTGGGCAGCTTGGGGTCGGCGGCAATCCGAGCCTGAGCCACAGAGTGATGGTCTGTGTTGGGCATTCTTGGCTGAATTGACCAGAGCAGGCGGGTGTGTAGACAGCGAAGCTGCTGGGAGTGTGGAGCCGAGCTCTGACACCCAAGCCTCGACTGCTGCTCTATCCCGGGCGCTGAGCGATTCAGACTCAGCAAGCGCTGCGTCAAGTGCGTGCCAGCTGTGCTGGGCGGCATGGCAGCTGCGCTCGGCGGAGGCAAGACTGGCCTTGGTTGTTCCCTCGGGCAGGAACGCACGGGCTGCACTGGTGGACGCTTGGGTCGACTTGTGGTCTGATTCGCCGTGTAGCGGTGAGTCTGAGCTTGCAAGCTATCTACGTGCGCGTGTGCACACCACACGGCGTGAACTGGTCGAGGCGCTGTGGCAACAGGGACAGGAGCCGTTGGTCGTGACGATGGTGCCACGACTTGCCGGGCGCTACATCTCGCCCTCATTACTGTCCATCAAAGGTGCATTGGCTCTCCTGCGCCATGACCCGGTTTTTGTTGACGAGCGATGAGCACGCATCTTTGCCTAATTGCATTATTCAAACGCTATTCGTCCGGGGCTGTTCCTAACATGTAAAAAGCTTGACTCTGCTCCCAGAGCGCTCTTTTTTTGCTCCGCATGAATAAGGCTGTTCAGGCGACGAGCAATGCAGTGTCAAGGGTTGGTGTCCTCGTGGCAAGCAGGAGGGTTCGGGGGTGACGAAGAATCATCTTTGGATTTCGATTATACAGTCACACTATTAGTAGTATTGAAAAGCCCGCCGATGCATGAAAATAGCCAGAGCCGTGTGGGAACAGATGGCAGACGAGTGGCGTGGCGCAAGTTGAGATTGAGCGTGCGATTGGTTCTCAGAGTCCTAGCTTCTATTAAATCCATTATCAAGCGCCATGGCTTGCTTGCTTGAACGTTTAAGGGTCGTGCAGGTTGGCAGATCGTGTTAAAAGCTGCGGTTCCAAGACATTTGGCTGCCCAGACCACTCATGTCTTGCGGATGCAGAACGGTTTGAACCTGAGACGCGTGCCTGCTTTGTCTTGGTCACGAGACTCATCCACTGATGGATCGTTGATTTGACGCCCTCGAATCGGCTCTTGGCACAACCAAGGGCCTCGACAGGGATGTTGCTTGGCTCGGATGAGACAAGTTGGATCCTGCGAGTGTATCCGGGTCGGCTTGCCACTTTATAGACGAGATTCTTGAATCAGGTCATTGCCATTGTCCAGCACAAACTGACGATCTCGGACCACCTTGCGGACTTTGCGACGAAGATAAAAGGTTTCCTCGAGCCCCTGCATAATGCGTTGGTGCATCCACTGGTAGTACAGCGCGCGACAGAGGAGGGGTGGGGTGGAGTCGCATGAAAAAGGGTGCAGCTGGGTGGTGATCAAAAAGAAAGACTCGTGCTCAATATTCGCAGGCCAAGCAGGAGCAAGTCCACACCTGGGGCGCTATATCGGTAAACTCGGCCGGATCTGTGATGCATTTCTCTGTAGCATCGACAGCTCGATACTGCGAGTTGCCGCGCACGGTGACCAACAGCGTAAAGATGACGACCTAGGGCGAGTGCAGCGTGAAATGAGGCGTGCGACGAGACGCAAATCCTTGCCCACTCCAACAAGACCCATGCCAACCAACCAACCAATGCCCCCCCAGTCACCAGCAGGATCAAGATGGCCTCGACCGTCACGTCCGTCATCTCCCCGCTGTACCCAAACCCAACACGCGAAATAAGAAAAAAAAAAAAAAAAAAAAAAAAAAAAAACGAAAAAAACGAAAAAAAACATGAGAGACAGAAAGATCGATGATGAGACAGAGAATTGAGAAGTCAACGATAACGAAAGAGAGACACAGAGCAAAAACACAATTACCACATGTAAAAGTGTAAAAAGAGAGATGCATAACAAACAACACCAAGCGACAAAAAAATTTTGAAATTGAAAAAAAATTAAAATTTTGAAATTGAAAATGAAAAGTTGCCACATTTAGTCAAGTTGACAGACAGACAGGTAACACGAGGTCCGATCCCTGGATGGCAGTGGGCTGGGGCCTCTGGGAGTGAGTGATGGGGTGGGCATGCAGGTAAGGGGGTATCGGTGTGGGGGGAGGGGGTTGAAGGGACTTGAAAGGTCTGAAGCTGAAGCGTTTCGGTGGGTGGTGGCGGGGGGGGATGTTGCTCACAGGGTGGTGGTGGTGGTGGTGGTATAAAAGGAAGGACCTGCGCGAAATGTTTGTGGGGCACGCTAGGTCCTGTCCCTGGTCTCGATGGCAGCCGTGGCGCATGGCCCGACCAAATGCCCAGCGCCCTGCCACATTGATGCTTGTGGATTTGTGCATTTTTTCTTTTCTTTTCGCCCTGCCCGTTCTCTGCGGTGTCAGGCCTGAACCCTGATGTGGTGCAGCAAGCAGCCCGCGGCTCAATGCCGATCGCCGCCTTTTTCTGCTCCTTTTTTTTTTTTTTTTTATGCCTTGGGTGGTGTCCGTGAAGAGCGTTTGATTTTCTTGGGGACCAGCTAGGATGCCTGCGGCTGCATGGGCCAGCTTTGTTTCTGCAGGACCTCTCACTCACCTGCGCGCTGCTTCTTTTTCCATGGGCTCCTACCATAGCTTTACCTCGTCTTGCGCGAGTGACTGGGATCTGCAACTGGATCTGAACCTGCCGAGATGGGTGAGATCTTGGCCAAGCTCTTTGTGGATCCCACCATCCTGCCAGGTGGTGAAAACTGCGGCTACAACGTCTCGGCGCTCAATGCCTCGACCCACTTTTCGCTGCACAATGCCAGCTCCTTTAACAACATCGATTGCGAAGCCTGTAAGTCCCGTTCGTGGGAGCCCTACGTGGTGGTTTTTTTTTCCCTTTCTTTTCCCTTTTTTTCCACGATCGCCGATGAATGCCCACGCTATGCTCATGATGCCTGCCTTGGCACCCTACTGCCCTGTTCAGCTGGTTATGGCTTTATTCAAGTCTTGTTCTTGATGTTCTGTTACGCCTACGTCCTCTTCTTTTCATCCAATCTGATTTCTGATGGTTCCGAGCTCTTGCTCTTGGTCCCATCCATGCGAGGTCTGACGCCTTCACCGAGCGCTCTGCTCCCTGTACCCTCGAGCAACCTTGGCTTTGTGTGCAGAAATCCTCTAACATGCCTGAATATTCTGCTTCGTCACAGGGATTGTGGGCTCTGTGGTCCTCCCGATTTTGGGGGCCGTCCCTGATGGCGGTGCGTTCGCCCGTGGCCCTTGCGCCCCTCAGTCTGTCGTCATTCCTGTGTGATGCTCTACCGGGACGTCCCTCCTCAAGAATGTTTCTGCTGATTGTTGCTTTAAACAATAGCAATTGTACTCTTCTCGGGATTGGGCGCGGACGCACAGAACCAAGTGGCCGTTGGCGTTGGTGCGCTCGCGGGCTCCACCATCATGCTGCTCACCCTCCCCTGGTTCCTGGCGGTACTGGGTGGCCGCGTCGATGTGCACAATGGTCGCTGCAACTACAAGCGGGTATGCTTTTTTGCAGCCGACCGCCCCTCCTCTCGCCGCCTTGACTGTGATTGCCGCACCCTGACGTCGCAATGGCCCCGTCTGGCGCCTTACACTTTGAATCTACTAGCCGCGTGGCCGCCGTGATTGGAAAAAGTTGAACATCACCGGCTTTCCCGCCTTGACCAAGACTGGCGTCGCCTTGCGCCACGATATTCGTACCACCGCCTATATCATGCTTGGCACGAGCCTGGTGCGGCCTTTGCGCCTTCCATGCCTCCCACCTCCTACCCTATTGTTGTTGCGTTGAGCATGATTATGTGGTGGTGACCTGCCCTTTCGTGGCCATCTTTCTGCACCTTCACTGGATGACCCTGCCCATTGGTAGATCTACCTCATCATTCAAGGGCCGGCATTCAGCACCGACCTCTCCCACCATGACCGCACCTCGCGACAGGCCGAAATCGAGCATTCATGGGCTCTTGGTGGCCTCATCATGACGTTGGTGGCCTTTGTGGGCTACCTGATCTATCAGGTCAAGTATGCCAACATCGACGACGCCGTGGACAAGGCCACGCGTGATGCCATTGGCCAACGCCTCATCACCCTCTCAGGAGCCTTTGTGCTTGACATGCGCCGAGCTTCCTACAGTGAGACCACGCCGCTGATGCTTGCCGACGAAAGCGCTCGCTTCAAGGGCTTTCTACGTGATTATTTCAAGAAATATGACATCAACGGCGATGGCCAGATCGATGCCCAAGAACTGGCCTTGTTGTTCCGGTACGTACGAGACAAACCGTGCTGACGAGCGAGGGCGTGACAACCTATTCTCTCAAAGACTAATCTCACAAGACACGTGAATGTGGGGGCGACGGCTTTGCTGTGGGCAGCGACTTGAACGAGGGCGTCAAGCCTGATCAACTTCACACCCTCATGGACGAGATGGACACGGACCGCTCAGGCTCGATTGATTTTGAGGAATTCAGCGAAGCCATGTTCAAGTACATCCAACAGCTGAGCCAGGTTAGTAGGCGCCGACGGCCCGCAGGCTCCATCCAGAGCCCGACGGTGATCATGATCCGCTGCCAGTGTGTCTGACGCCTCCCGTGCGAAAACAGGCTGAGGAAAACAAGGGTGGCCAAATTCAAACCACCAAAGCCAGCGACGACGACGTCTTTGTGGATGGTGATGAGATGGCTGACGACGATGATGACTCGCTTGACGACGATGACGGCGCGGAGGAGGAGGAAGACGTGAGCGCCTGGGCGACAGACCACCGTCTCCCGTGCTTTTTTTCCTGAGGCATTCAAACTCATTTTTTGGCGCAATGACTCTCTGCGCAATCACGACTTAGGTGCCGGAGGAGTTTCAGCATTTGACGCCAGAGGCACAGCAGCGTGCGGTCCTGCTGCGTGCCGCCTGGATGATGGGCCTTGGTACCATCTTGGTCCTTCTATTCTCCGACCCTATGGTGCGTCCAAGGCCAACCACGTGTCTAAGCATGTTGAGGCACTGCCGACAGACTCATCACTTTGGCGTGGCGTTAGGTGGATGTCTTGAACGACATTGGCACGCGCACGGGCATCAAGCCGTTCTACATTGCTTTTGTGCTGGCCCCGCTGGCATCCAACGCCAGTGAACTGATTGCAGCCTTCAACTATGCACAAAAGAAGACGGAAAAGACCATGGCCATCTCGTTGGCCACCCTGGAGGGCGCGGCCATCATGAACAACACCTTTTGCTTGGGCATTTTCCTTGTTCTCGTGTATTGCAAAAACTTGGCCTGGCAATTCTCTGCCGAAACCATTTCCATTCTTCTCATTCAGGTCGCGATGGTCGGTATGGCCATGAAGCGCATCCACACGCTGCTGGATGCTTGTATTATCATGTCCTTTTATCCACTCTCCCTGCTCGTGGTGGCACTTCTTGAAGGACCTGGCAACATTGACTAGCTGCTAACGCACTTGGTTCCTTTGTGAATGTGACTAGCCTCACTCATTGTTGTGTGTTTGTCTCCTTTTGCTCGGCCGGCCTCGGCCCCTGCATCAACCTATTGAGTCATTTTAATTCACTGTTGCAGAACGACACGCATCCAAGCACTGAGCACCTCAGAATAATTTCTGTTGCACGTTGTCGCGCAATGCTGGCTTGAGCACGGTCGGCAGCCTTCTCATCGTTCGGGCACTTGAGACTATCCAATGAATGGGGACAAATCAAATGAGCCATAGCTAGAATGAATGGCAATTGCCTTTGCGGAAGGGAATGGCAGGCCCTGATGCAAACACCAGCATCGGCGACAAGCGCTGTGTTAGGCATGATACAGCGGCAACTCTAGTGTAATATCTGTGACGCGCTTGGTGTCGGCGCTTTGCGCGCAGCGAGCGACTTGTAAAGACCATTTTCGACAGGACCGCAGCGCTTGCCGGAAACTTTCCACGTCTGCCTCGGTAAAGTTTGCTCTTGAACCGAGCGTGAAATGCAACCGATCCATGCGGCGCGCGTGGACCAGTCCGAGCGCCTCGGCTGTCTGACCAAGAGTTTCAAGGGCCAAACATTCTGGTGCAGCCAACATCCAGTCGGTCTGAACAGCGGCGATGACGGGCAGTTCGGCCTGGTCGGGTAGAACAAAGTCACCGTCACTTGCCTTGAGAACGGCAGCCTGCAATATGGGCAAGGCCTGCTCCAGCACCACGGCGTGACGCCTTGGGTCATCCTGGGCTTGAGACTGGATGGGGCTGGGAGCAAAGCTACAGCAAGTGGCGTGCACGACCTCCCAGCCAGCCGCTCTCTGGCAATCGGTGGCGCGTTGAATCACTGGCAAAGACAGAAAATGGGCATCCACGGGTGTCAAGTACACTGCCCATCCGTCCTCCTTGCCCACCCACTCGGCCATTGTCGTGGCTGCCATGATCGTTGATCACCATCCAGCTGCCACCGTCACCTCTATCCACCACCAAGCAGAACCAGCACCCTGCCACCATACCACCCCTTCTCTTCCCGCCAGCCCAGCCCAGGAAGACCCTTACCCACTCCGCCGCCACTAAAGCCGTCCCGCCCCTCTGCACAAAGTGCACCACATCAAATTCTCTCTCTCTCAAAATCTCAAAATCTCTCGAAACAAAACCTCTCTCTCACTCTCTCTAAATCTCTCGAGATCTCTCTCTAAATCTCAAAATCTCTCTCTCGCTCTCTCTCTCTCTCTCTTTGAATCTCTCTCTCTCTTTAAATCTCTCTCTCTCTCTCTCTCTCTCTCTCTCTCTTGAAATCTCTCTCTTTCAATCTCTCTCTCTCTAATCTCTCTCTCTCACAAAAGAAGGGCTCCAGGAAAAGTCGGGAAGCACACACACACACACACACACACACACACACACACACACACACACACACACACACACACAGATTGAGGGCCGAGCGCAGTGGAATTTTACTCTTGCCGTGTGCGTGTGAGGGAGAGAGAGAGAGAGAGAGTGAAGGTTTGTAGACGCGGTGGAGGGGTGGAGGGTGTTGGCAGTGTCAGAGAGAAGGAGGTGGCTGCCAGTGTCACTTGCATCTTTGCTTCGGCTGGTCCCTCCTTGGTTTGCTGGCCTTGGGGTGGCGGGTGTGTACTTGCTCGCCTCCCGACTCTGCCTTGGCTGACCTTGTTTCTTGGTGCCTTGATGGGGTCATCTAGCGCAACTAGCCCAAGCAAAATGTTGTACCTGGCCCTCAAGGCCTTGGGCTTGGCCACCATGCCTGAGCGTGATCTGGTCGAGTGGCTGGCCTTGGCTGTTGCGGTGACGGGCGTGCCCACGGTCATTGCCCTTTTGAGTGGGGCAAGAGCTGCCTACGGGCGTTACGTTGACGATAACAAGGGGCTGTATGGCTTCAACATGAACGGCAAGCTGGCCTGGATCATTCAGGTTGGTTGGCATCGATCGAAACAAATCAGCGTCTCTTCTGGCTTATTGGCCCCTTTTGGCCCCGTGTGTCTCCATGGGTCCCCGTGTGTCCCCGAGTGTCCCTCCTTTGCCCCATAAATAACATGCCACCGCTTCCCATGGTGGCCCCGACATCACCTCATCTGTCTGTTTTTGCAGGAATCGCCGTGTCTCTTCATGGGCTTTCTCAACCTTTGGAATTGCCATGCCAATGTCATCACCAACAAGCCCAACGCCCTCCTATTTGCCTTCTTCATCTTCCACTACGTCCATCGGTACGTCCCCCGCGCATGTTTCGTCGTCTGGGGTCCCCTGGGTTCACCATTTCAAAAAGCTCACCGATGACCTGGGTGTTTTGTACGACCCCATCACAGCACCCTTGTTTTTCCCCTCTTTCTCAAAGGCAAAGACACCCCCGTGCTTATCATGCTCATGGCTTTTTTCTTTTGCACGATCAATGGGTAAGAACCACACGCACAAAGCGCCGCCCGCTTATCACAAAAGAGCCCGAGTCACCGCCATTCACAAGCTCAAATACAACTGCAGATACATTCAAACGGCCTGGTTGACGCGTGTACAAGCGTATGATGATGCCTACGCCACCAGCCCTCGGTATGTGCCGCGTCCACTGCCTCGCGCTTACCGGTCGGCCGGCGTCGACGCCCCCCTGCCCCACCTTGTTTGTGCTCTCATCTGTCGCGTGGTCACGCCACCTTTCCACAGATTCATCATTGGCATGGTCTTGGCTGGACTGGGATTGTTTGTCAATTTGCATTCAGACTATACCCTGATCTACCTGCGCAAACCGGGCGAGAAGGATTACAAGATTCCGCGCGGTGCGTTGGGTGCCCTCCTGCTTGTTTTTGGTTGGCCGATGGGGTGTTCTGGCCGTGTGATAATGGCCCACTTTTTTTTTTTTTTTTTCCTTTGCCCGTGTCGGGGGTTTTAGGTGGTATGTTCGAGTTTGTTTCGGGCGCCAACTTTTTCGGCGAGATGCTGGAATGGGCTGGTTTTGCAATTGCGGGAAATGCCCTGGTGCCGCTGTCCTTTGCTCTCTTCACGGCCTGCAACATTGGCCCCCGTGCCTTGCAGCACCACCAGTACGTGGCGCCGAATTGGCTGCTGTCATGAGCTTTCCGATCGCCGGTTGCTCATGGTTTGCAATACTGCTTGCGCCACAGGTGGTACCTGGAGAAGTTCAAAGAAGAATACCCGAAGCAGCGCAAGGCGCTCATCCCGTTTCTTCTCTAAGCCTATGATCCGACTGCTGCTCCTGCTCAAATTGAAAAAATGAAGCTCCCCAGCCAGATGGTCTTGGCATCGTCCACAAATGACGCTCCGTGCGTGTGGCTTCCTCCTACAGCTGGAGCTTTACTGCCCAAAATCCGGCTTGGGGTTGAACGTTCAATGTCGCGTATTCCAGGCGTCCATTGGGCCGGCGCGTCGCAGCAGACTCAGAAATGCCCATAACAATAGAGAGGAAAGAAAACTCAATCTCGGGTCCCAGTCGACAACAACAGTTCTGAACAACAAATTCTCCCCCTCCTTCATTCGTCAGCAGGAGTGATCAGTGGTGATGATGATGACATTCGTATCACGTTTTGTGTGTGCACATGCACATGTACGAAATGAGAGCATTTTGTACATTTGACACGACATTGAAAACGAGGCGGGGGGCACAAGGATCATGGCGCTGATGATGGACTCTCTGGTGTTGGGCCTGGTCCTGGTGGTGAGCGGGGCGGCAGCGGTGCCCACGCTGCCGATTGTGGGTATTCCTGGTTATGCGGGATCATCGCTTTACTTTAACCTCACAGATGCCCCGACCTTGGTGCCACATTGCCCAAAAACCGTGACGTTCGTGACCGCCGCCGGCGCCCCCCCACCACGCATCTCACCCCGCACAAGCCAATGGCAGACGATGCAGCACCTTACCATGGTTTGGCAATCACATCTGTTTCGTAGGGGCGGCACCATGTGGCCAATTCCCAGCTTCACGGGTTTGAATGATACACTTTGCTGGCTGGAAAACGTCGGCAACTTTTACAGCAACGGCCAATTCCATAACCGCAAGGCACGATCACCTTGTCGCATTCAGAGGTATCCTAGCTGCCGACGAGCAAACCTCACCCACTTGACCTGGTGTTCACTCTTGTCACTCAGGGTGAAACCTCTTGGTCGGGCCTCATGCCTTCTGAGGCTTCAGTTACAGCTGGCTTGCAGGCCCGCTCAAAGGAGCTCACAAATACCGTCGAAGAGACAGACAGTACGCCAATTTGCGAGCACACACCCAGCTGCAACCCCACGTAGCCACCCACATGTATCGTGCCCCCCTCCCTCGGTCAAGTCACGGATGTTGGTGCACACTCATCTCTATGGCACACAGATCCTTGGCCCGACATTGCTAACATTGACACCCACTACGACTGGCGGTTTCCATTGGCCTCACTTGAGCCGTTTTATGACGAACTCCGTATTCTCGTGGAGAACCAATACAATGACAACAATAAAACCAAGGTCGTCCTTTGGACCAGCTCGTGGGGCCCACAAGTTGTGCTGGCCTTTTTGCACCGTATGCCCCAATCATGGAAGGACCAGTACATCTCCTGGTCTGTCTCGCGCACGACGGAGGCTGCATTTGATTGCGGTCTTTTGTGCCCATACCATTTTGCCCACGCACCGCACAGCGACATCTCTTATCCGCCTCTCTGCTCTTGGCGTGTCAAACGGCTTCATTGACCAGGTTTGTGGCCATTTCGCCCATTTGGGCCGGTGCGCCGTTGCCCGTCGAGGCCTTGGCTTCGGGCTGGTCTGAGGATCCCGATGGCGAACCAGGCTTTTTTGTGCGTATCGCGGCCACGCGAGTCTGGTCGATTTTTGGGATCTTTCCCCGCCCTGGTAGGCTTTCCCTGCTACTTTTTTTGCGCACCCATAACGCAGCGGCCAATTGCCTGCTGTCCTCGCCTGACGATCACACGTCCTGCTTTTCTCGTTTTTCGTTTTTCTCATTCTTCTTCTTCTTCTCCTCCTTCTCCTTCTTCTTCTTCTTCTCCTTTTATTTTTTTGACAGGAGAACACAACTATACGTTTTCCAAGGATGACGTGCTGGTGCAGACGCCCAGTCGCAATTACACGGCCTATGACATGACGCAGTTGATGAAGGACCTTGGTTTTGAAGGCAAGCTTGAAGGCATGAACGCCATTGTAGAGGATGAAGATCTCAAAAACCTCGCTCACCCCGGCGTCAACACGTTCATGCCCTACGGCTACAACCTCACAACTCCCGGTCTGTCTCGTCTACCATCCCTCTCCTCCTTACCCCTCTTACTCGCTGAGCTCACCCATCTCTCCGGGTGGCACCTGTGCAGGCAAGTTTGTGTACGACAAGGACTTCAAGCCCAACCCCCTGCACATTCCCAACATGACGATGCAGTACCCGGTGCCGGAAACGGGCGATGGCTACGTTCCCGTTCGCTCCGCCTTCCGTGGGTGGTACGAGTGGGCTCAACCCATGAAGCAGGTGCGTTCCCACCGTGTGGTGTGTGAAAGCGGCGTTTGGCATCTCATCTCACCTTCGCCATGTCTCAAATTGGTCAGGCCGGCAAGCAACTCGTCATCAAGGGTTATCCGAACATGTTCCACAGCAACTGCACCAACGATTGCGTTGATGACATTATCAAGTATGTACCTGCTTCAAAGCCGTTGCTTGTTGCTGGCCGCAATCGGTCGCCCGACAAGCAAAACAATTCTGACGTCCAATGTTTGTGATTCCATTTTTGACTCCACTTCCACCCCCTCGGCAGCCTCGTAACCTACGATCAAGTGCCACAGGATGCCAAGTTCAATTTCCACCCCCATGCCAAGAAGCCCGAGCCGCAAGTTTAGTCTCGGCACACTCTTTGGGAGTTGCATAGTGTGCATTCATATGAATTTTTTGCGTGTGTTATCCGTGGCACCGCTTTGCACTCGTCCCGACTGCCTGTGTGGAAAGCGATCCGGAATTTGCTTGGTGTATGAATGCTGTTTCTAGTTGAACGGAATGATACTCGAACTATGTTGTCGCTGGTGTGTCGACGCTTCCGTCGGAAGCTTGCACTAGATCGCCGTATGTCGTCGTGAAACTCGAAACGCTTGGATTTGTCGAAATTCATAAGCAACTCAATCAGGCTTCACATTTCCTATGAATCAAGACGTCGAGCATATTGCTATCTCGAAAGGCTAGAGCATACGACAAGGTTATGGTGGTGGCGGTGGTCTCGATCGTCCCTCCTAGTCACGTCCAAGACTAGAAGACTGAGAGACTGCATGCGTCACATCCCCTCACCCCCGCCAAGCCAAACACTTATTATAACACGCCACATCAACGTGTTGCATCGTACTGCTAGAGAGAGAGACAGAGAGAGAGACAAGAGAGCTTTCCCGCCCACACCACGAACAAAAGAAAGACCAAAGAGTCATTGGCATTGGCGTGGAAATGCTATTTTTCCCCCTTGAGAGGTATTGGAGACGCTGCCATATCAACTTCAAAGGGATCAGAGAAAGGAAAAAATGAAAAAAAAAGGGCAGCGGGGTCCATCGGGTCCACTGGGTTTATCGATCGAACTGGGACTGGTTTAGACACAACTTGAGGGAGTCGTTGGTGACTTGTGTGAATGCATTTCTCGTGTGGGAGTGGCAGAGCTGTCTACAAACAGGGGTTGCCCTTGAATGCGCGTCGAGTTGAAGGGCTGCTTTGAGATCGCTCCAGAACGGCGTGACACGAGTTGCGCAGCGGAAACTTGCCGCTGCCGTTATTGTCCTTGCCTGTGGTCTTATGCAAATCTGCGCGTTTGATTTGGTTTCCTCAGGCGTTGTTGTGGGTGTTCCCACGACTCGACCACCCTCGGCCTTCCTCTGCAGTCTGTCGCCATGGCGCGTGCATCGCTTGCTCTGGTGGCGGTGTTGTTTGCTCAGGCGGTCCTACTTCCTACTAGCGATGCCGCCTCCCTGTCCTCTTCTGGTTTGAAGTGCATGTCCTTATGCCGCTTCCGCAACGACACGGGAACTGTTATTGATGGCCACCCCAGCTGCATCATCGACCAGTCCATCTCCCACTTTTGCCCCGTGTGTGTTGGCACTTGGGATTACGGCATTTGCCAGGGTCGTTGCTATGACGTGTGCGATGCGCCTGATCGCGAGCGCCGCTGGGGTGTTCTCAAGGACGTACGTGCTCGTGCCCTCGCTTCCAACCATGCCTGGCACCAGCTGCAGTCAGTTCTTTACACTCAAATTCATCTCGCCTCGTGTTAGGCGGTGGAGGATGTGGGTGACTTTTTCAACGATGTCGGTGACGCGGTGGGTGATGCCGTTGGTGGTGTCATTGATACCATCAAGGAGGAATTTGAGGCCCTTCCCGATCGCCTTCAGGTCAGTATCACCGCGCGCCGCCGCACCACGCTCTGGACCCACACCGGCGTGTCCTGTTAAGCAGCCTCGAAAACTTTGCGCGGACCCTTAGCCGCCCATCCCCCGCGCGCGCTCACGCCGCTCTTGACCCATTTCCCTCGACAGAATCTCGTACTGGACGCTGCCGAGTTTGCCAAGGCTACATACGCCGACTTGATTGAAATTGGCCAGGAAGTGCTGGCCTACCTCAAGAACGTGGCTGTCATGACTGTTAGTCAGGTCACCCACCTGATTTCGCGCCTCGTCGAGTTTACCGTGGATAACCTCCGCGAATTTCTCAACAACCTGCCTCTGGATATTTTCCGCCAAACACTCGAAGAGTTTGGCTGCGAGAAGCGCTGGTCCCCCTCCCAGTTTAGCGTCATCGCCGACAAGGCTCTGGACGTTGTGGGCCAGATTGCTGACATGACCGGCTTTAACATTGATTTCTTTGAGGAACTCGGCTCCATCATCGTGGGTCTTTCCAAGGGTGACATCAGTCAGATTGACGATCTCGTTTTTAAGACCGTTGTCATTGGCATCAGCATGTTCACCGGCATGCCCCCGGGTAAGGTGGAGGCCTTTGCCGAAAAGGCCATTGACGCCTTTGGCGTCGTCAAAGACTGGACCGCTGCCGACTGGCGCTCTGTGGGCGAGGTTGCCGTCGGTCTGGCCAAGGGCGACTTGGAATCCCTCGATGACTCGTCTGCTCTCAATGAGTTGGCCCGCACTACCATCGGCGCCAACCTCACCCAAATCACCGCCATCGCTGCAGCCGGTGTCGACATTATCAAGGGCTTTACCGACGGTGACGCTTCGGAAGAGGATTGGCAGGCGCTGGCTCAGTTTGGCACCGGTCTCGTGGCGGATCAGATCCGGGACCTGCCCATTGATTCTGCCGCTCTTCAACTTTTAGGCCGTATTCCTGGCCTGGATGTCGAACAAGCCCAGGCCCTTCTAGCCAGTGCCATCGACCTCCTGGGCGACCCCGACGCTTGGAGTAAGGAGGAGTGGACGCGGCTCGGCAACATTGCACTCGGCCTTACCGCCGACGTCATCAAGACCATCGGCATGGATGGTCTAGAGATGCTCGGCAACTTGACCGGCATTGATCTCACCCAGGCGCAAGCTGCGCTGGAACGTGCCACCGAGCTGCTGGGTGACCCTACCGCTTGGAGTGCTGACGAATGGAAAAGGGTCGGTGCCGCAGCCCTGGCTGCCACCAAGGACCTCATTGAACAGCTGCCCGAAGAAGCCATTGCCGTCTTGGCCGAGCGCCTGGACCTCGACGAGGCACAGCTGCAAGCCATCCTGCAGCGCGTGCAAGCCCTGCGAGGCAACCCAGCTGATTGGACTGCCCAAGATTTCCGTCTCCTCGGCCAGGCAGCGCTGCAGCTCACCACTTCAGCGCTCGCCAACATTGATTCGGATAGCCTGTATGCTTTGGCTGACCTTGCGGGCTTCAACGCTGACCAGGTCGACACGCTGCTCGAGGTTGCAGAGAACGTGTTGGGTAACGTAAGCTCTTTGCTTCCACCAACGCCATACTGTTGTGTGCCCGTCGGTGGTTTTGATGTTCATGTCATTTTTTCGGTCATCTCACCTTGCGACACACGACGTCTTTTCGCTTTGTCTTGCATTCCGGGCCACTTGACAGATGGACGACTGGTCCGAGGACGACTGGGTCACGCTGGGCAACCTTGGCCTTGAATTTATCCTTTCCAAAGCGAATGACCTCACCTCGTCCGAGCTCACAGCTTTGGCCTCCACGGCCCCAAAATGGTCATCCAACATGTTGTTGCAGCTGCGTGGCTCCATCGTGCGCCTGCATGGTGCCGTTGCCGGCTTTGACGCTGCGGATTGGAAGGATATTGGCCAGCTGGCCAAGGCTCTGAGCACTGGCGACTTGAGCACGATCGCTGCTGGGGCCATCGAACACCTCCGAGAAGCTGCCGCCGAGTATGCCGATGAACACACGTGCCCTGCGGTACAGCCATCATGCAGCAGCACCATCACGGTCCCCGTTCTTGATCTGGATTTTTGTGCTGAGCAGTGGGCAGCGATCGGTTCTCGACTGCTTGTTCTCTTTGGGGAGACTGAAACTTGGAATACGGCGCGATGGAAGGAGTTGGGTTCACTCCTGCGCGGCTTGTCCCCGGCCGACTTTGGCCAAATGTCGCTCGAGGCCTTGGACGTGGTGGCAAACATCACCTGCATGCCTACGGACCGCCTGGAGTGCATCGTCAAGCGAGCCATCAACCTGTTCAACACGGCCAATGGCGTTCGTGGCTGGACTGCCGCGCATGTCAAGCGTCTAAACCGTGTGGTGGTCGGCCTCACACCCCTGCACCTCCGCAATCTGACCACGACCACTTTTGTCGAGGCGGTCGAGTTCCTTGGCTCTCAGAGCCGTTGGAACACGAGCCAGCTCAATGCGCTCGGTGATCTGGCCGTCGAGGCCTTTGGTGACCCTGCCAAGTGGGATGCTGACACTGTTGGCAAACTGGGTTCCATTTTGGGTGGCGTCACCGATGCCTCCCTCAAGCTCGTATCGGAAAAGGCTCTCGAGGCCGTGGGCCGCCCGGCACAGCGCACCCTTTGCTCAGAGAAGCGCATCCACATTATGACCCCTGAACAGTTGGCCGTTATTGCAACCGATATCGACTGCCCCTCTGAAGAGCTTTTGTACACGACCCAGCAAGCCGCCAGCGTAGCCTCGGCCCGCGATGCTGCGGGTCGCGTCAAGAACGGTGGCGGTTTGAGTGGCGGCGCCATTGCCGGCATCATTATTGCTGTTCTGATCGTTTGCTTGGTAGCCGTTGCGCTCGGCGTCGTCTATCAGCGTCGCCGCCGCCAGGACCGTGTCGCCGTCAGCGTCACCAAGGCCCCCACGGCGCACGACAAGAGCAACCCCAACATCCGCCCCTATGCCACCAACAGCGTATCGACCGCGGATTCGATTAATACGGTGGCCAACAAGTCGTTTGCAGGTGTGCCCCCGCCCAAGCCTACTCGCAAGACCACAGGGCCCTCGCTGCCTCCTACTCTGCCCTCAAGCAAGCCAGTGCCCGAGGCAGTTCCGGTAGCAAACGGGGCTGTCGCTGCTCGCATTGCTGCCTTCAGCGCCCCTGAGCCCCAGCCCTTGGCCCGCAACCCGGCCCCCGTGGCGGCTGCCCGCCCCCGTCCAGCGGAACGCCCCTCGGTACCCATCAAGCCCATCAACACTGGCAAGCCCACTCCACCCCAGCGGCCCGCGTTGCCTGCCAAGCCTCAAGGCCAGTTTCAGAGCCAAAAGCCGGCCCTGCCCAACAAGCCAAATTTGACCAGCAAGCCTGCCCTGCCGACCAAGCCCAATCTTGCGAGCAGCAAGCCTGCCCTGCCTGCCAAACCCGCGCTGCCCGCCAAGCCGACGCTCGCAGCTAAGCCCTCGGTACGCCTTATGCAAACAACCTTACGCAAGCGGCCTGTCCCTTTGCACCTTGCCTCGTCTCATCTTTCTGTATCTCGTGCATGCCCACTTGTGTTGTGGGTGAATGATCGGGATCATCAGTTCTCTTGGTGTCAGCTGGAGGATCCCAGCTCCAAGCAACCGTACTACTTCAACCGGGAGACGAACGAGACCACTTGGAACAAGCCCACTGGCTGGGATGCGGTACGTTAGTGCAACCGGTTGTTGTCTTCTGGCATGCTCAAGACAGGAGGGCATGGACAGGCTTAGGCTGCTTGACCCAAATTTCGCCACTTTTTGACGTGCGCTTTGTTTTGTAGCACGTAGCCGCATACGGCGTTCCAACGTTTGACACTTCTGAGATCTAGTCGACCGTGCCGTGAATTGTTGGTCTTTTGGTCTGTCTTTTGACACCTTTGCCTGTTTGCATCATTCATCATGAAACTTTTCATCTGTTTTGTTGTTTTTTTGTTGTATATTCAAGCCACCTGCTTGCCTGGTGCGAGCATGGTGGAGCAAGCGACCTTGCGCGGTGCTGTTGAGGGGGCCTGCCACGTTGTGGTGTGTTGTTTGTTGTCTTTGTAAAGTCACTTGTTATTCAATCTGTATGTTCCCACTTCCTTTCTCTCCGCTGGCTGGAGAACAATTGATGGGCCATCAAAAGTGAAGGAAAACAGTTGGATGATTTTGAAACAAGATGATTGCTGCCACAGCAGCAGAGCTGGGAGATCTCATCACGTTGAGCAATGCGGAAAAAAAAAAAAACACTGCGTTAACTGTCGAATTTCAAAGTAGACGGATTGACAAGCTGTCTGGGAAAAGAAAAAACAAGAACGTCTAGGGGTGCGAACGGCGCTCACGCACTTGGACAACACCAAAAGGGACATATGAAACGTTTATACCAAGGCACGGCGCTGAGCAAACACAACTCAAGAATCTGAAGAAATAGGTTGGAAACTGGAGCGCAAAGAACGAAAAGGAAAACTGGGAAAACTTGAAAGGGGGTCAAGCTGCAAACTGGCTCAAGCTTAGTGTTGCGTATTGGCTCTATTGCTTGGCCTGAGGGGAGAGCGGTTGGTGGAGCGGAGCATGTGGAGCCCAAACGCGGGCTTGCTCTCGGCTTCGGTGCGTTTGCGCTCGGTCATCTCACGCTCATGAGCGTCCCAGTCAATACCACGTTGTGAGTTGGCGTTGGCAAACTTCTTCTTGAGTGCAGCCGCAATCAAACTGGCTGGGTCTCCACCCGCAGAATCGTCTGACGTTCGGCGTTGAGTCGGAGTTCCACCAGGCGACCTTTGAAAAAAAAAGCAAAAGCCAAAGCCAAAGCCCAAAACAAAGATGAGAGTCAGATGAGCTCAACATAAAAAAAAAAAAATTCAAAAAAAAAAAAAAAAAAAAGGATGAAATAAATCAAGGCGAGCTCAAAGCATCATGCTATGCCGACGCAGGCGAGATTGGGGGTGGACGGCTGTGGGGAATGCATACCGATCAACACTTTTGAGCTTGACTGAGCCCAGACCCTTGAGCACATCCGCCATGGAAGGTCGCTCATTCTCCTTGGACTCAACCTTTTGACCCTTGCGGTTCTGTTGACCAGAATGCAAAGCCGCTTGATAAGTCCCGAGCGGCAAGCTGAAGGGTAGACTGTGGGTGTTGCCAATGGCCTGGTGTGCACGAACCTTTTTGATGATTTCTGAAATGCTGGCCGGGGCCTTGTAGAGGGCTCCTGGCATGGGTGCCGGAGGTGGAGGCGGCGGTGGGCCACCCGCGGCCATCATGGGAGGAGGTGGTGGTGGTGGTGGGACACCCGCAGCCATCATGGGTGCAGGAGGCGGTGGCGGAGCCGGCACACCGGTGGCCACAGGAGAGGCTAACAGCACCAAGGCGCATTGAAGCAAGCAAAAGAGAGGTGACTTGAGGTAGGGGTGGTGGAAGTTGATGGGAAAGCACAGGCGGATTCAGGTTTGTAACGCACCGGCGTGCATGTTATCTTGGCGCACGACGACATCTGCAATCATGGACTTAAGGCGCAGCAGTTCATTCTGCAAATGCGTCAAGTCGGGTCCAGGTGTGCTAGGCTCGATCATCGCCGGGCCGCGGCCTGCCGGTGCACCCACATGGTGTTCGTTTCCGTGAGCAGGCTCGACGGTTCGAGTCTCTGTCTTTTTTTTTTTCTTTCTTCTTCCTTGGTAGCCCCTTTCTGTTGGGTTGAACAACAAGTGCTTGACAAAAACGACTTACGACGAGGTGAAGTTGCCTCAGCATCCGCTTTGGCAGCAGCGAGGCGATCCAGGTGTGTAAGCATGTCGTTGCGCGAGGCACGATACACGACGTTGTCCCGCCCGTTCTCAATGGCGTGCACCCGAGCCAAGTCGGCTAGAGTGGGCACGTAAGGCAGGGCGTCCTCTTCATCTCCATCGTTGAGGTGCTTTTGCACAGGAATCTGGTTTGATCGTGATCGCCCATACACAGCCCATGAGTTTGTTAAGCGAGCAGTCGTGGAAAGGTTCAATACTTGGCGGTCGAAGACCAATGCAGACAAAGTGAATTGGAGCCAACCTGCGAGCGAAGACGAGCTGGATTTTTGTTGGGCGCCAAGCGGCCATAGAGGCGGAGAAGGCTCAGGTACTGGCGCACAGTGGCCAACTCGCCAGGGGCCTGAGAAGGTGACCAAGGCTTGCTGTGAGCAACGGCACGGCACGTTCAAGAGAGGGAGATGACCCGGTTCAGCCGCTTTGTGACGTACCGGGGCGGGAAAGGGACGCAGCATCATGTTGCCCGCCTAACGCTGCCAAGCGATGGGATGGTGGCTGACTCTGACTGACAAAGGGCGGCGAACGGTGGAGGCAGCCAGGCCGCACGTAGAAAGTGCGCGCTTGCCGGCAAACTTGCGCAGCAAACCGGGATGATTCAAATTTTCGCGGGAAAGCTTGTTGTGGCTCAAAACTATTGAACTCCAAACTTTTGCGTTTAAAACAATTGAAATCTTGACGGGCGGGAAAATTCAAATTGAGAGCGACACGATCACCATTCAGGCAATTTGCTGCTCATGCCCGTATCGTGCCGCACCCCCTTGAAGCTCGCTGCCCATACCCACGCACACCAGCCCCGTGCTACGCGGTGACATAGAAAGAGAATAAAAAGTACCTTGCCTGGATTGGCATCCTTGCACGGCTACCGACTTAAAACATGGATATCCTCGGTGTCGTGACCAACTTCCGCGACTTGGCGCGTGAACCAAAGAACCGCCCCGTCATTGGCCAGGTTGGTGCTTCAACGTGTCGGCCAGTCCCTGCCACCTGTTGCTAAACTCATCAAACCTCTGACGCGCCGCTGCTTCACGATGGGCCCTGCTTGACAGGATGCAGGCAGTCTTGGGTCCCTCATCCTTTGCTTGGACAGCGAGCCTGCGGTGGTGGAGATTGCTGTTGAAGCCCTCTACTACCTCTCCCTGTGCGAGGACAATCTTGAGCCCATGAAGCAAAGCCTTGGCCTGACTGACAGCCTCCGTGCCATTGTTCGCGTGAGTTTGCCGCCTCTTGCCTGAACCACAATGCCAACTCTCTCGCTGAACACGCAGCGCTGCTCGTGACTCACGAAGAATGAAAATTGCTGCAGAGCCCCTCCAGCGCGCCGCAACTCTCGCAATGGGCTCACGCTATCCTGTCGACCTTTGACATGGCTGGCAAGCCCGAACTGCTCGCGACCATGCAAACGCCTGTGCACAATGGATTCTTCAAGGGCAAAATCAATAAGATGGCTCGCACGATTGTGCTGCAGATTGACGGGCTCAATGATTTATACAGCCGCAACGCCCTTGAGCAGCGACTTCTGCAAGTCAAGGGCGTCGTTAGCTTTACCTTTGATATGAAGACAGCTCGTATCACCATTCGTGTGCGCGACTGGCTGCAAATGGAGGTGGGGTACTGACCCGACTGCAAAACAGTGCACGACTGCTCCTCCCCTGTCGCTCGCTCATCGTGGGCACGTTTCTTTTCCAGGTTCTGTGCGATGCGGTGGCCGATACTGGCATGGCCGCTCGTCAGGTTGTGCGCGATGATGATGGACAAGAAGTGATGCTTTCGTTTGGTGCCTCTCCTTCCAAATTTAACAAGGTAAGACGGCAGAGCCGTGCCTGACACGATGACATGGCCGTGCTTCTGACGCCGACGGTGCCAAACGCTGTTTTCAGGAAAACGCGCCGATGCCCGACTATCTGGATGAGCATGAGATGTTGGACCCTGAAGCTGACCGCAAAGCTGTTGTGCATTCTGGCTCGGAGAACCAGAATGGGGGATGGTTCTCCGCCATCGGCGGTGCGTTAGCCCGCCTTCAAGTCCAGTTGGGGATCGCCCCGCCTACTCATGTTTTCCGCACTGCTCTCCAACAGGCTATCTGTCACGCAACCTGTACTGGTGAAAGGAGTCGAGAGGTTTCTCTGCGTTACACTCTTAAGAAAGATGCCTTGCTCGCTTCGTGGTTGGGAGGGGAATGATTGGTCCTATTCGCCCTGCCCCGCCATTTTTAGTTTTCGTCCTCTTTGTTTTTTTTGTTTTTAAACTGCATGTCGTTGCAAGCTGTGCTTTTGTCGCTGTGCCTGTCGTTCGTGCGCGTCTTTCCTGCGCTTGTTATCCTCTTGTCCAGTTGTGCCTGCCTATGAATGCTTTTCTTAATTTTTTTTTTCCCAGACAAACCACAACTGAGTAAAGCATACCTAAGCTTCCGTTGAAGGTTGATGTCGGCCTTCGTGCAGCATCAAGCGCTGATGCGCTCCTGATGCTTTCGCGTATCCTTCTTAAACTGATGATCTCACTCAGACTTTTTCATTCTTTCAATGATCGCATGCGTGACCGCTTACTTTTTTTAAGCAGAGCAAGTGTCAGAGTAAATAATGATTTGAAAAATAAAATTGCCGGTCAATTGCACGCGAGGCGTCAAAGACACAAAAAGGGCGTGTCAAAGAAAACAACCCAAAATTGCACGGTGCGAATGACAAAGCAACAAAGTACTGGCGCCGAACCCCATGTAGCTGGAACACCGGAGTCAGCCGCATCTGGCAGGCACGCCTTATGAGACGAGAGCAGAGGCGGTGGCAGACTGGTACTTGAAGTTGGGGGGGATGACACCAGCGCCCTTGTAGTAGCGAGCCAAACGGTGGATACGGCTCTCGACAAGAATGAGGCGGAACTTGCAGTCCTTGTCCTTGCGGTTCTTGTCGAGGTGCTTGCGCATGCTGACGGCCTTCTTGATGAGGCAGTACAGGTCCTCGGGCAGCTCGGGGGCGAGACCACGGCCCTTGAGGATACGCAAGATCTTGGTACCGGTCAGCGACTTGACGCTGGCAATACCACGCGAGTCACGGAGGACGACACCTAACAGTTGAAAGATCAAGTGGAACGAGGATGAGTTACCTCGGCTCTGATGGAGGAGTAGTGGAGAAGCATGAGCATGATGAAAAAGCATCAAGGCCATGCTATGCCCAAAGTCAAGACAAATGTTCGTACACGGCGGGTCAACAGGTACGATTCGCATTGACGAGGGATGCACACAAACAAGGCATACGTCACACCAAACACCCAAGCATGAACCAGAACAACACTCAAGTCGCTGGGCTGGATAAGGACACACAACTGGAGGAGAATACATCAGTCTCAACAGCCATGTGTCCTAGCCCAACGACTGGTCACGCTGCTGGAGCATGTTCGAGTGCCGGTATGATGCTGCTTGATTGTGGATCCATTTTTATTTCCTTGCACCCGCCCCAGTTTCGACAAAACCCGCATGAACTGCTACCAACCAAGCCAGCCAAACAATCTTCTCCAACCCTCGCCCATCCTCTTGATGAAGAGAAAGATGAGCAAGAGAAAAGAAGAAGAATGAGGACAGGTATGGAGGGCAGGCATGATCATGTGCTATGTCAAGCACGGACTGTCACTGGGACGGGGTGCTGGCCCATGGTCGACACGGAGCAAGCAGTACGTACGCCGGCCCGGTCAAGGGGCTGGACGTACGCAACAACCCACTCCGGTCCGAAGCCAGCCCGGAATCGTCAGCACAACCTCAGCCGCAGAGCCAGTACCACCAGGCCTCTCCTCCACTTGACGGGAGTTGAGGAGGTGAACAATGGGTGCAACCGAGAGAAGGCCCAGAGCATGTTTATCTGAATGCAAATGATGGAGCCAACTCCCGTGTCATCAGGAAGCATCTTTAGCCGCAAAACGCATGTCCAACAACAACATGGCCGACATGATTACACCGTCTTCCAATAAGGGAGAGGGAACTCATGGAAGACCACGTGGTGGAGATGCAAAAACGGGTTCTTGATGTCCATCCGGCAGCAAAGAGCGGCGACAAAATCTGATTCGGAAACAGCAGATTCATCGACAAAAGTGCCTACCAATCTTGGAGGGGGTCATGCCCTTGCGAGCAAGGTTGTAGATCAGCTCCTTGACATCGTCCGAGCCGTAGAGGTTCTTGAGCCACTGCAATCGACAAGTCACGGGGTGCATGACAACACCACGAGGAACACAGGGTCAGCGTGCGCGCACGAACAGGCGCCGGTGACAGCGGCCGGCTGCTCAGGCTTGAGCATTGGTGCGCAGCCGGTGATGGCTAATTGGCAGCGCACTACGAGGGAGCAAACCATTGGCAGGGCAGGCTTACCGCGGGGGCGGTGCGCACGTAGGGCGCAGCGGAGCGGGAGATACCCTTGCCGGGAGTGTGCATGCGACCCATCTTGACCGGTTTTGAGGGAGGAGAAAAAAAAGTGCACGTCTACCCCATCACGCGCTCATGTGTGAAAGCGATGGAAGCTGCTCTGGGGTTCAAACCTCAACTGAATACTGCTGAAAAGCAGCTTTTATCTGACGTCATGTTCTTCTTTTTTCCCTCTGTCAGCAAAAGTTTCTCGGGCTTTGTCTCTTTCCGGCCGGCGGTGCACGAAGCTGCCCCTGTGGACCGATAGCCTCACTACACCGCTTCGGTGAAAAGAGTTTTCGACTAAGCTTCTCCGCGATGGCACGGCCCAGCCTAAAATCAACCTATTTGAAGCCACCACAACTCGGCGACCGTTGCACCAATTGACAGAGGCTGCACAAGACGAGAAAATTTAATGATCCACTATCGTGCAAATCGAAACAGATGGTCAAGGAGAATAGTCTAATCAAGCGATCCTTACCGAAGAACAGCTGTGTAAAACAGCAGTTTTCTTTTTACACACCCAGCTCCCCACACACATTCCATTAAGTCATACCTTTGAGCCATCTCGGGATGCAAAGTGCATGCTTTCAATGCATCATAGAAGCATGAGAGCAGTGCTTTTCTTTTTCTCTCATGTTCTCAAACTCTCGCTCTCTCCCTCTCCCACTTTTTGCATCGCGGGACGTTACTGCAACAGCAAAGATAGTAGCAGTGGCAGCGGCAGTAGCAGCGGCAGTGGCAGTGGCAGTGGCAGTGGCAGTGGCAATGGCAGTGGCAGTGGCAACAACAGCAGCAACAACAGCAGCAGCAGCAGTCGCGATCGAACCTTTCCCTATCATCCGAATCATCTCGTCATCTGACAATCATCGACCATCACTGTGTTCGCTCACACGCTTTTTTTTTTTTGAACGCGCTTGGTGGTGGCGCGCAGTGGTGGGAGGTCAAATGAAAGCGGATCTTGTCGTCGACCTGAAGAGGTGCCAGTCGATTGGTGAGCCATCGGGTTTTCAGGATGGCCAATCAAGCCTTGCCCGCTCTGCTGGCTGCTAGCTCGGCCGAGCACACTTTCGTCATTATCACCAAGCTCGACTCCGCGACCTGTGATGCTAACACCCAGCGCTACAACAACGAGATGATTGCTCGAATCGCCAACAAGTTCCAGCCAAAGAAATTTGTTTTCATCATCGATACAGGCGATGAACTGCAGCCTTTCACCACGACCAGCCTACAAGATGCGCAAAAGCGGTTCCGCTTTGTTCTCGGCTGCCTGCCCACCCACAACGCTCGACCCGAGAGCGTCACCAAAGCCAAGATGTGGTCGGTCGTGTCTGAATACCTGGCCAAATGTCAAGAACCTCATTTCTGCCTTGTCATCTGCAGTGGCTATCTGGACGAAACCGTGGGGGATCAGCCCCCGCCTCACATGGTCAACGCCTTCCAGGCCTTGCGAAAACACGATACACTTGTTGCTGCCCCAACCCGGAACAAGCGCTTTCTTGACTGGGTATTGCAGGGCCTTGGCCTCAAAGACGAAATGCAACGTCACGCCAAGGAAATGGCCATGTTTGAGTCAATTAACGACTTGGTCGTCGCTAAACCGCACATCCTGAAGCGATTGTTCGCGGATTTGGACAAGGAGTTGCCCCCCACCAGTTCCCTGCAGATGCAGACCTCGCAAACTCAGCAGAAAGATGCTCCCTCGGCCACCAACCCAGATGAACTGGGTCGCTTCCTCGCAGTGAGCGAGCTGGGCCGACCCGCTGCTGTGCCACAACCGGTCGAAGTCAAATTTGTGTGCGTGCTTGCGCAACATGGCTTGTCGTCAGCTCGTGCCGGCCCCCGCGAAGCCCCACTTGTTCTTTTTTGTACTCTCACCCTGGATGGTTTTTCTTCGGCTGTTTAGGATCCGCGGCAAACAACAAGAGAGAAACATCCATGTTCAGCTCATGTTTATTGCCAAGCGCCAGGACGTATTGCCATTTCCCATCCCGGAGACGTTTGTTATTGTCAAAAAACTGGCCAAGAACACCATTCAAACACGGCTGGACCACTTCCGATCCAAAATGCTGAGTGCCCAGATTCTGCTGGTGACCTTTGCCCAGTCACAAAAACATGATAAAGAAGGCCACGAATACAACATGCTTCTCTCTCTCTGCCGGACCTGGCACGCGCAAAACAGCGTCGCCATTGCCATGAGTGATGGCGCTGCAGCTGCCTCGGAGAAAATCTGCATGGAGCTTGGTTTGTAACTTTGCTTTGACATATCTATTACTGGCTTGGCAACCGGCATTGTGTTCTCTCACGCCATCACCTGTTCCTTCCCCTGTCCACCCTTGGCAGGCACACATCCGCCGATACTGCCAGCTGCAGCAAGCGGACCCGAGTCAAACGCTAGAACCCCCCATGGAATTGTGATGCGCCTGCTTGACAACCAAGACATGCTCCAGTATATTCGCAGCTCAAAGGAGCTCAAGGTATGTTTTTTTTCGTTCGTGGCGCATCGTCTCAGCATTATGTGCATTTGGCGGGGCCAGCTCACTGCCAGTCCGTGCCACCTTAGCAACAGAACTCGAGTGCCCCCCCGAGCTCGGGGAGTGAACCTGCCGCCAAGACCGCCAAGCGAGATCATGTCAGTAGTGACTTCAAAGCCACTACTCCTGGCTTTGACCCAGTCACACCCAGCTTAACAGGCGCAACTCCGCAAGAAATGAATTTGCGACGAGTTGAGGAAGCTTGAAGCTGCTATTGTCTCTTGATTCATGCTCGTATTGCCATGCGCAAGCGGGCCCCTCTCTCAACCTCAAGTGAACGCTGTATTGTGATGCACATGTCCATCTTTGTGTTCCACGCAATTGAATTTTGGGTTTGTGGCTTGTGAAAATTCGTCGAAAACCCCCCAGAAATCACGAAAAAAAAAAAACCGAGAAACAAATGGCGTTTGCAACGAAAATTCCCTGTTCAAAAGATGATGCTGCCAAACCAAACGAGACAAAAATAGGTTTGTGGTTTGATTTGGATGTGGGGGCTTAAATCCTCGGGCAAAGACACGCACGTAGCCTTGTAGAGCCCTTGTTCTTTTATTCATAAACTCGATCTTTTGCGTCGGTTGCTTTGACATGAGCATTCAATATGTGCCCTGATTGACCAAATTCAATTTGACGAAAACCCTGGAGTCCCGACTATTTGCGAGCCTGGAAGAGAGCTCCACTGCCTGGAAACGGCCAACCATCATATGAGTCTGAGGAAGCAATTCTGAGCAAAATACAAGAGCAAGTCGTATCAGCGACACACCTCCAGCTGAACTGCGATTGCCAAAATTACTTTGACCAAAGCTAGATGGAGCTGCTTGAGTAGTACCAAAGCCGCTGGCGCGACCCGCCACGGCACCAAAACCACCCGAGGCACCCGAAGACTGCGAAGCGAGGGCGCCAAAGCCACCACTGCCGCCACCACTGCTGCTCCCAAAACCTGCATGACCAACACACGAGGTGGTCAGCGAAATGCCTGGGACCACCCCCCATTTGCCACCAATAGGCTTGCCCACATGTCACACACCGTTGTTGCCACCGCTGGAAGCCAGCTGGCCAAATCCACCATTGCCTTGAGTAACGTGACCAACGTCATTGGTAAGTAAAACCCAAAGCCAGGCAGGCACCACACGAATCAGCCAACAAAGAAAGCGTCAGCGGGGAAAGCATCAAGCACTTACCGGCATGATTTGAAAAGCCACCCGACATTCCTGAAGGCGAAGAAGCCCCGAGACTTGATCTGGGAATAATAGCACATGTTCACACGTGAAATGAGATACACAGGCTTGCATGAGGCATGATTGCAAAATGGCCTGCCCTTGCTATGCCTGCTCCCCATGGCTATCCGCTAGATGTCACGATCCTCTTTGTCATTTTTACGACCAATGCATTCCACTTCAACGCACCCAAAGGTGGGCGTCTGGCCAAAGCCACCTGTGCCCCACATGGAAGACTGGCTGGTAGGGGAGGCAGAGAAGCTCGAGCCGGCACCCGCTCCGGCTGTTGATCCAAATGTGCGGCTGCCACTGCCAAAGGCCCCACTGGTCTGGCCCGAGGGGGACCCAAAGGCAGATCCTGAGGTGCCTGTGGCGGCACCACCAAACACAGAGTTGCTGGCGTTGGTCACGCCGCCGCCGCCAAACGCCGAGCTGCCCGTGCCTTTCGTGCCGCCACTAAACATTGAACTACCCCCAGTGCTCGGGCTAATGAAGGCCGAGCCGCCAGTAGCATTTGTACTTCCAAAAGCCGAGCCGCCAGTAGCATTGGCGCCACTGTTGCCAAACATCGAGGTACCAGCGGGACTTGCACCACTATTGCCAAACGCCGAGCTGCCGAATACGGTTTTTTGGCCAAAGCCTGCCGCTCCCGTTCCACTGCCTCCTGAGCTGCCAAACTGGTTCGGTGTTGACGTTGCCGCCGCTGTGTTGGCTTGACTACTAGTTGCAAACACGTTACCAGCCTTGGCGGCGCTACTACCCATGTCACTACCAAATACATTGCCACTGGGGCCACTACCACCCAGGCTCATTGAACCCAAGCCCGAGGGCTCATTGTTTTGAGTGGAAGAAGAAGCCCCAAACAAGCCTGTGCCAGCAGTACCGGGCTTAGACGATGGAGTTGTGGTCGTTCCAGTCGTGGACGCTGCAGTGGTTGCAGGGCTGCCGAAAAGGGATGGTTTTGCAGCATTTACAGCGGTTGGTGATGCAAAGGACCCTTTGCTTCCACCCGAGCTTGGCGTCGAGGTTGGAGTCGTTTGGGACGCTAGCGTGGCAGAAGCAGGCGACTCTTTCTTTGTGCCAAACAGACCTGATGCAGAAAAAGCATTTGTGGCAGACGAGCTACCTGACTGCTGCCCGAAAGAGGCTGCAGCAGTTGATTGGCCAAAGAGGCCACTACTTCCTTTAGCCGCCGTTGTCCCTCCTTGCCCAAAGATACTGGGGGCAGAGGTAGCCGATGCTCCCAATGCTTTGGGTGTTGCTGTCGTTGTTGAGGCCCAAGAGGGTGCCTTGACAGTTGTGTTCTGGCCAAAGGAAGGGTTGACCAAGCCAGGTGACGCTGACTTGCTTTTGGCTGTGTCACTTTCACTCCCATCGTTGCCTCCGCTGTCGTCATCCTCGACAACCACACCATCAATGTCAACATCCTCTTCATCGTCTTCCGTGTAAGCGACGTCCTCATCCTCCTCATTGCCTTCATCCTCGTTTTCCTCATCATCATTATCATCTTCATCTTCATCTTCATCATAGTCCTCGTCATAGTCCTCGTCGTAATCCTCGTCATGGTCCTGATTGTCATCGTTCTCATTGCCACGCTCCTCGGAAGAATCCTCTTCATCGTCTAAACTCGCCTTTGTTGACACTGGCTTGCTCGAAGTGCTGGCTGAAGCGACTGGTTGGCTTCCACTCTTGGGTGCGCCTTGGGTTCCAAAGCCAAGTGTCGATGCAGCCGTCGTGGCTGTGGACGTGCTTGTAGCAGGCTTGGCACCAAAACCAAGTGACGGTGCTGCCGTCGTGGCTGTGGACGTGCTTGTAGCGGGCTTGGCACCAAAACCAAGTGACGGTGCTGCCGTCGTGGCTGTGGACGTGCTTGTAGCGGGCTTGGCACCAAAACCAAGTGACGGTGCTGCCGTCGTGGCTGTGGACGTGCTTGTAGCAGGCTTGGCACCAAAACCAAGTGTCGGTGCTGCCGTCGTGGCTGTGGACGTGCTTGTAGCGGGCTTGGCACCAAAACCAAGTGTCGGTGCAGCCGTCGTGGCTGTGGACGTGCTTGTAGCGGGCTTGGCACCAAAACCAAGTGTCGGTGCTGCCGTCGTGGCTGTGGACGTGCTTGTAGCGGGCTTGGCACCAAAACCAAGTGTCGGTGCTGCCGTCGTGGCTGTGGACGTGCTTGTAGCAGGCTTGGCACCAAAACCAAGTGTCGGTGCTGCCGTCGTGGCTGTGGACGTGCTTGTAGCAGGCTTGGCACCAAAACCAAGTGTCGGTGCTGCCGTCGTGGCTGTGGACGTGCTTGTAGCGGGCTTGGCACCAAAACCAAGTGTCGGTGCAGCCGTCGTGGCTGTGGACGTGCTTGTAGCAGGCTTGGCACCAAAACCAAGTGTCGGTGCTGCCGTCGTGGCTGTGGACGTGCTTGTAGCAGGCTTGGCACCAAAGTCAAGTGTCGGTGCAGCCGTCGTGGTAGGCGTACAGGCCGCGGCTGTTGTAGTTAAAGCAGAAGATGGCGCAGCCGATGCGGAAGAAGTAGCGCTCATGACCTCGGGTAAATTGAAGGTTGGCTTTTCGGAACTTGTTGTATGGGCGCGAATCGGCGCTGAGTTAACGGAGAGAGCACTCGACGCTCCCTTCACAGGAGTGCTGGCAATGGGACCGCTGCCGAGGTAGCTGCCATCAAGCTGAATGCTATCCACCGTAAGATCATGGGCGCTGCGCACTGGCACATGCTTGCGCAGCGAGCTTTGGACAGAAGAGACCTGATGGCGTTGTCGTGAGGATGGCGTGGTCCGCGCTGCACTGACGTCTTTTGAGGGACTTGATTGGGGATGGCGTGATTGGATGTTGCTGGTGCGCAGGGAAAGGAGGTTCAATTCGCTGACCACAATCTCATGCTCCAACTCACGTAGACGGTCGACCTAATATTGCAAAGGGGCGCGATTGAAGGCCAAGATGAGGCTGTACACAACCTGTCCATTGCAACGAAAGAGAAACTTACCGCTTGCTTCAAGATAGTGCCATGGCATTCGATCGTTTCACGAGCTGCTACCAGATCAGCACGGTCATGTGCAGCTCGCTGTGAAGCCACCTGTGGTGAGCGCTGAGTTGCCTGTTGTCGAAGAGCAATTTCAGTGCGGTTCAGCTCATTCAAACTCTCCACAAGTCCGTTGTATCGTTGAGAAAAGTCCTACGCATGCAAAGAAGAGAGGAAGAAAGAGAGGAAGGAAGGAAGGAAGGAAGGAAGCAAGTCAGTAAAAACAAAAAAAAAAGGAGAGCATCGATGATGGTGGAGTTTGAAGCGACGCGAATTTGCGAAGCGGTAAAAAATGAAAACTCGGACCTCCATCTGTCGTTGGCTGGCTTGATTCAGGGGACGTTCACGAAGGGCGACACGGCCGACAGCGTCGTAGCCAGGTCGCACCCGATCTGCGGCAGCAACGGCGCATTGTTTAAGCGCACCAGCACGCTGCAGGCTGACGTCAACTTGAATGAGTGCATCGTGCAGTTCAACATCAGCTTCCTTGAGCGCTCGAGCACGGCCATCAAGAGCATCCAAATGCTTCTCGATTTCTGCAGCAGGGCTAGGCTCAGACCATGCATTCTCAAATTTGGCAAACAGCCCTGCTAAGTCATTATTGAGCTGAGCGAGGCCCTGTTCAAGTTGCTCAACGATGGGGCGGTCAGCTTGATTTGCATTGGACGCTTTGTCAAATGCTGTGGCAACACCAATGGGTTTGTTTTGAGCAGAGGGCGTTGTTACCACAGCCGGCGTGGTGGTGTTTGTTGTTTTCAGCATGGGATGCGTAATCGCTGCTGCTGACTCTGGTAGTGCTGAGTTGGCACCCGCACTGGCACTTGCAAGGACTGGTGCTTGGCTGGGCGACAAGGCAGAACTGCCTGAAGCACTCAAACCCCCAAAAGTAGAAGACTTCGGAGATGAAGAACTATTAACTGCAGGCTTTGCGAGAGTGGTGGGGCTGGCCAACGTTCCGAAAGAACCACCATTCGAAGCTGAGGGCTGAGTGGTTGTGTTTGTTGCAACAGGAGTGACCAAGCTCGAAGTAGCAAATGCAGCAGGCTTTGCGGCCCCCGTCGACGTCGATGTTGTTGATGAGGTCGGGGCTCCAAAGGTAGAAGAAGATGGGGCTCCGAAACTAGCGGGCTTTGCCGCTGCCGCCGTCGTTGTTGATGAGGTCGGGGCTCCAAAGGTAGAAGAAGATGGGACACCAAACGCAGCAGGCTTTGCGGCCCCCGTCGACGTCGATGTTGTTGATGAGGTCGGGGCTCCAAAGGTAGAAGAAGATGGGGCTCCGAAACTAGCGGGCTTTGCCGCTGCCGCCGTCGTTGTTGATGAGGTCGGGGCTCCAAAGGTAGAAGAAGATGGGACACCAAACGCAGTGGGCTTTGCGGCCCCCGTCGACGTCGATGTTGTTGATGAGGCCGGGGCTCCAAAAGTAGAAAAAGATGGGGCTCCGAAACTGGCGGGCTTTGCCGCTGCCGCCGTCGTTGTTGATGAGGTCGGGGCTCCAAAGGTAGAAGAAGATGGGACACCAGACGCAGTGGGCTTTGTCGCTGCCGTCGTCGTGTTGTTGATGAAGCCGGGACTCCAAAGGTAGAAGAAGATGGGGCTCCGAAACGTAGCGGGCTTTGCCGCTGCCGCCGTCGTTGTTGATGAGGCTGGAGTCCCAAATGTAGAGGTAATCGGGGCACCAAAATTAGGGGGCTTGGCCGCCGTCGCTCCAAATGTAGAAGGGATCGGGGCACCAAAATTAGGGGGCTTGGCCGCCGTCGCTCCAAAGGTAGAAGAAGTTGGGGAACCAAAGCTACCAGGCTTGGCCGTCATTGTCGTCGGTGAAGCATCAGCACCAACGCCACCAGCTGCAGCTCCTGATGGGGCGGTAGAGCCCAAAGAAAGGCTGGATGCGGGAGTAGTTGCCTTGGCTTCCAGCGCGGCAGTGGAGCCAGCCGTCGCCGACTTGGCCTGTGCGGCCCCTTTCTTCTTGCGCCCCAGAGGAACACCACGCTCTTGAGGCAAGTGCAGACACTGTGCAACAGTCATGAAGCTATACCCGCTATCCGTCAGCGCAAAGCGCGCATTCGCCTACACAAGTCCAGGTTCAAGCCCGAGTTGTGAGTGATGCCTGCCTCAGCCCAGCCCAGCTTGCTCATGTTACGCATACCTTGGTAGCGCCCTCTGCATCCATGACATGTTCAGTATTGATGCAGTGATAGAACAGGATCTTGCCGCCGGAGGTGAGGATTGTGACGATGGGGCTGGGTGGTAGTTCGATCGCAGTCGGCGGCTCGGTCGGCAAGACGGTTTGGTGGCTGCCAGGCTGACAGGTAGCCAGTGCCATGCCAGCCACAGTTTCAGGTGAACCGTCATCCGTTGTAGGAAGGCGGATCTAGAGGGTAGATGCAGTCAGGGGTCAGATGTCGGTGCTTATAACAGAGCTCCTGTGTCCATCCTTGCGTCTCACAGGATTTGGGCATGTACCTGAAAATCGTCGAGAGGCTTGACGTTAGCCCAAGAACCATCACTTTCAGCCAAGATCATGTCAACGGCATCGCAATTCGAGCCGCCCAGGAGCACCATGCGCCAGGGTTGGATGGTCAACAAAGCAGCGCTCTCCGCATTGGTCGACTCGCCATTGACAAAGGGAGGCTCATCAAGCTCATCAAAAAAGTAGTGTGGCGTACTTGTACCCTACCCCGACAGCAAAAGGGTGGCCAGAGAGGAGCAGCCAACCCAACTGGTCAAGAAAGGCAGAAAGCCCCGATCGAGTATCGAAGCATGTGGCGCGCAAAGAGCAGTGCACAGGAGGCTTTCTGGCGCCGAGAGAGCGAGGACCGACCTTTTCGCTGAGAGCAAGGGTGGCTGCCATCTGTGCGCCATGACGCTTGACAAAAGCGGCCTTGTCGACCCAGGCCACTGCATTGACAGGGAGCATGTCATCCAAAGGTTCTATCCAGTGCGCGAATCATGTTGTGTTCATCCATATGGACAAAGGGCAGCGCCGAGTGAGAAGCACCGAGGTGCGTTTAGGCCACTTCCGCAAGAGGAGTGAGACGTACGCTCAAACTCTTCGGCGAGTTCTGCCGTGAGGTAGGGGCAGCCCTGGTCCCCCAAGGGGTTTCCACAATCCTCGAGCTATGTCCATCAACACCGGTTCCACAGCCAGAGGAGAGGAAGAGGGGGCCAGGGTTCCCAGGTAGCCAAGGCACAACGAGAGAAAAAAAAAAAAGAAAAAAAGGGACGACCCGAGCAGACGTCCAGATAACAGAGCAATGTGAGCAAGTGACATAAAGGCCTGATGTCGGTGCGTGGATTGTTGGATGCAAGCAATGTGAGCGAGCTGACCTTGAGGTTGTAGCGCCGAAGGGAGCCGTCGGCCAAACCTGCAACAAACGCTTTGCCTTTGCTCCCCGGCCACGTCCACGAAACTGGTACGGTTCAAGCAAGGATGAGTCCTTGTCAGGGGTGAACGTGACGCATCAAGCACAGCCCCCTCTCTGGCGCATGAACCATCGGGGTCGAATTGTGATGCGCGGTAATGCAGGACACGTCTTGATGCCAAGGAACTTACTCGAGGTGATGAGTGGATGGGCAGCGGGCACGTTGGCCACCTCTTGAAAGGCCAATGCATTCTCTGGACCTCGGTAAAAGCTCACGTTGCCGGCCTCATCCAGCAGCAGGAAAGAGTGCATCCTGGATGAGGGGTATCCGCAGCGAAGAAACGGCCGGTGGCGAGTGGGGACGAGCCAACAGTGAGAAAGACGCCGCACAATACAACCATCAGGATAGGTGGATGGTCAAAAACGAGCGTCGAGGTAGGACAGAGCACGAGCTGCAGCCAGCCAGTGTAGCCCGCAAGCCAGATCACGCAGGATGGGACTGGAATAACTCTGAGAAGAGGGTGCATCGTACCAGAGTTCGCCAAAACCTGGGTTCCATGCGACGTCGCGGATGGTGGCAGCGACCGCAATGGTTTGAAAGGGCTTGATCGGCTCGGTTTGATGAAAGCAGGCTGCTACATCATACAAGAGGCATTCTTTGCCAACAGCCACGGCCAAAGTCTCGCCATCACTGTGCAAGAGCGACAACGTAGATGAGGGATCGGCTGCACTGGACTGTGCCTGTCTTGAACGCCCAACTCTTGGGAGAATGCGAGGCACACGGGGCGAGCATGACCCAAAGGCATAGGGGCAACATCGGGGAGCACACCTACCTGCTAAAAGCTACGTGTTGGGGCTGTTCACTGGTCTGCACGGTCACCTGGGAGGCGGGTACGACAAGCTCCTTGTGTGCGGGTCGGCATTCGGTGAGGGCAGCGCCCAGCTGGCACAGGCCAACGCCGCCACTCTGGGCATAGGCAAGCAGGCCATAGGTGTTGTTGACTGCGAGCTTGTTGCCTGGGATGTCCAGCTACGGACGCGGGTGAGCGGGGGAGGAGTAGCATCAAAGCAAGAATCAGAACGGGGGATGATGGCGTTTCGAGTAGTCGGACATGTGTTTGCGGGCCGAAAGCACGAGGCGCCAGAGGCGCGGGGGAGGGGGCGGAAAGGACAAAGGTGGCTGGCTGATGGATGTGGCCTTGCATCGGTGTGTCATTGCATCGTTGCATCGTAGAAATGGAAGCTGCTAACCTGAAGCGGGTTGGGCGAGCCCGTGACGGCGCCATGACCTTCAAAGCGCCACACCTGCCGCGTGCATCGAGAGAAGGGTAATTCAGTGAGGGCACGGCACGGTACAGTCGCAAAAAGGCAAGCCATGCGTCAGTGGAACCGCATCGATTCACCTTGCTAACAGCAATGCGCGCCATGGCCTTCTTGTTTTGCGGAGGCAATGCCTCCTACTCTGGTGTACCGCAAGTTCGTCGGCTCGCTCTCTCTGTTGTGCTGCCAACAAACACAACGACAGTTGAGAGAGAAAAAAAAAAAAGGTCGAGCACACAAAACACACGACGGAAACACACGTTTGAGAGAGAGAGAGATTTAGATTTAGAGATTTAGAGAGAGAGATTTAGAGAGAGAGATTTAGAGAGAGAGATTTAGAGAGAGAGAGAGATTGAGAGAGAGAGATTTAGAGAGAGAGATTGAGAGAGAGAGAGATGAGATTTAGAGAGAGAGATTTAGAGATTTAGAGAGAGAGATTTAGAGAGAGAGATTTAGAGATTTAGAGAGAGAGATTGAGAGAGAGAGATTTAGAGAGAGAGAGAGATTGAGAGAGAGAGAGAGATTTAGAGAGAGAGAGAGATTTAGAGAGAGAGATTTAGAGAGAGAGGAACATGTGAGTTGAGACAAAAAAAATTATTCATCCAGAATATTTTCTGCTTGTGTGCGGTAGGGGACGGTGCTTGAAAGGCGAGGGTCTGGGTTTGCACTCGCGGGGTGGTCGCAGCTCGATCAACTTTGGAAAGATGGGTCAGTTATCCTGAGATCAATTTTTTCAGGGGTTCGGTTCGATTAGGGATGTTTACAGAAGAACATGTTGCGTTCGTTACACCGGCGGTGCCCTGGATAAAAGGGAATGTCTCTCAACTGATCTAGAAAGTCAAGCGTGGTCACTTCGAGGGCCTGGATAGATTCTGGCGCCTTGCTGATTCGAGCTCCATTGCCGCTGGGTCGTAAGCATTCCATGTGCGCACTCGAATCGCTTGCAGCAAAGAAGCGCTCCGGTAATTCGCCCCGGAACACAATGTTGTAAGGGCCATGCATTCCCTGAGAGACGCGGGCGGCGCGGGCACACACTATCAAGAACAACCAAGTGTTGTCTAGGATTGGGAATCTGAGTCAGGACAAGAGTGAACAGAGAACGTACTTGCTGGCTCATGTGGGTCCAGACTTTTTTGGGCTCGCCTTCCATGAAATAGCTGCTGGCATCCTTGAACTTGGCAGAATTGCGATGCAAGAAGATGACGCGGTCTTCAGTCGGGTGTTTCTGTGGTGCAAGCCGTGAGCTCAGCCGCATCAAACCACCTTTTGTCATTATAGCAGTGATAAAAGGGCAGAGGTGGCGTTTCGCACCTGGCCCAGAGTGTTGCCGCAGAAAACGGGCTGCTGATTGAGCTTGCGAGCAACGCCCACCGAGGCCGGGGCAAACGGTACAAGCGTGTACTCTTGTCCCAGAAATGCAAAGCTAAAGTGGAACGTCATCTTGTCACCGTGAAAGAGCCGACCCAGAAAAAAACTGGCATGCACGTTCATCCAGTACAGCTGAATAGACCAAGGCCCAAGAGCACCATGACAAGAGCACCAGCAGCGTGAGTGGGTTCGGGCGAGGAACCAGCTTGAAGATAAGCTGGGCGTCAGTGCGAAGATGATTGGACTGGCTAGACCACCATGGATGGACATGCAGTACCAGTTGCAGCGGCTTCCAAACAAGGGCTTTATTAATGAGCACTTGGCCCGTTTCCAGCTCCACGGAACGCGAGCTTGAGCAGGATGGCGGCCAAATGGTACGCTTCCCTATCACGTTGGCAGGGTGACGTAGTCCATAAGAATGCGTCGTTAAAAAAACAGGCGTCACCCGCCGGCTGAAAGTAAAAAAAGCAAGCGTTTTTGGACACAAACCAGGTCGAGGCTGAGTAAAGTCGGCTGGCACTGGAAGGTCGAAGAAGGACCAAGTTTCCTCACGCTCACTGATCATGTTGCAAATATCTACAGCGCAAGCATGAGTCTCCTGCCTGTGAAGTTTGAAAAGGTGAGGCGGCGAAGAGGAAGCGACTCACCCGGCCAAAAGATGGCCCCAGAGGACTGGAAGACCGGAAGGTCAAACAACGGGGCAGGGTCTTCCAATGGCATGTTGTCACTGTCCAGCCACAAAACTTCCTGAAAAGAGGAGAGCATGATGGCCATGGCTTTCATCTGATAGCCCTTGATGTCCACACCGCGCAGCTCAGGTTGAGCCGTCAGATCAATCAGCGTCACGTCATACTGGGATTCTAAATACTCAATCGCCTCCAAGGGCATCTCCTCTGAGCCTCCATAAAAGACCTTGCCGAATCAGACAACCAAACGTTGCAGTGACATGAGAGCCAGAGGGGCACGCACACCGTCTTCGAAAGACAGATGGTTCTGGAGTCCAGGACAAAAAGCAGTGTACGCACCTCGATGGGCAAGGTTGTCTTGACGACCTCGCGCAGAACGCGAAGGCTCACGTAGGCGGCGGTGAAATACGAACGAGTCCCAGTCGTCAAGACAATTCCACGCCCCAGAAAGTGGTCCATGGGATATTCGCCGAGCTGCTCTGCAAAGCCACGAAGCCGCTGCTTCCACTGCCCAAGATTGTCTTCTGGTCCAGCCTCGGGAAACCGCCACGCAGGCTCAATCAACGCAGCTGCTGCGGTACCCAAAATGTGGCCCAAACAGCAGCCACCAACCACCAACACCATCTCTGCCCCGCCGCCGTCCGCCAGCCTCTAGCCTCTGCGACCATGACGCTGCTTTGTGAACATGCACAGCAAATTGAAAAAAAAAATCAAAAAGACGTTACGAGAACCAAAGAATCAAAATTAATTTTTTTTTCTTGTTTTCAGAAAGACAAGACGAGGGTGAATTGAGATTCGGTTGAGCACACCTCTGAGAGAGGGAGAGGGTGGGGGCGATGCAAACTCGATAGATGAATGGGTGCAAGGGGCGGTCGGTTTGTCGGGCAGGGGAGGAGGGTGAAGCGCAAAAGCAGGTCTTGCGCGGCTTGGAAGATGTAACTCAATTTTTAAAGTCAGGTTCTCCTGTACGCCTCACACGAGGACGAGAGATCACGCATCATCGTCCGGTTGACTCCAGGCACTGGCCGCTTCGCCGGATACCCACGCCTGATCATCCACCGCCATGACACTGCGCAAAGCTTCGGTCGCATAGGTCGCTTTGGGTAAAGTGAAGGTCAAGCGCACGGCACTTGCCTCGTGCGACCACGCCAAGCCTTCCGCCCGCGCGAACAATGGCCGCGTTGCGCCCTTGCATCGGATATCGAGCTCAGCCAATGTAAAAGCGCCAGGGGACAGCTGATTGCACATTACCGCGGCCAGTGAGGCGAATCCGATTCTGGGGGTCGTGCGATGATACAACAAGAGCGAAGACTCACCTCATCTTCCTGCAAAAGCTCGGTGTACAATTCTTGCAGTTTGGGAGGATAGACGGTATCCTCCCCCGGAATGTCAAGTAAGACGGCAAAGTGGTTACGCGGGCGCGTGGGATCCACCTTGTCAAAGTCACACACGCCAAGGCCATATCGCTCCACGCGTTGGTAAGCGAGCTGATTCCAAAGATAGCTACGCCCCAGAGCAAGGTTGGCGGTAAGCAGCTGTCGAGGCACGCCTTCCAACACCTTCCCTCACCTTCCCTGGATGAAGACGGTGAAGTTAAATTCAAGCAAACAAAGCATGCCCGCTTGCCTCGTGTATGCGTGCACCGGAAAGAGACGCTGCGTGAAGGGAAGGCCTTTCAAGGCTTGCAGTGCACCCTCATCACTGACACCGAAGCGACGCAGTCCTTGCAGGATGCGAATGACCTGGACACGAGAGCGAGGCATCATGGCCAGGGCCTGGTCCAGCTGGGACCGCGACCAGGGAAAGCTCACCAAGCGCTGTCGCGCCCGGCTCGAGGCCATGCTCCGGTCTGCTGGATCCGGCGCCATCCACAAGCGCACAGCCTGGGTTTATAACCAATCGAGCCCCCGGTTGTCAGATCAAAAGGATGCATCGGTGTACAAAATGAAGCCCATCACCGGCGCGCGTCGGTTGCCTTACAGAGGCAAAAGCACGCACCTCCAGGTATTTGCGCTGCAGGATAAGGCGGCCAACTTGATGAGGCCCGGCCGTGCTATCAGCGCTTCCAAAGCGTTGCGTGCCATAAAAGTTCTGCCGTATTCCAGCGAATCCAGCCACAATTGAGAGATAACAAACGCATGGGATGGCAGTGCCGGGAACGACCAAGGTTAGCACAGATGGGCACATCTGAGTTACAGACCACAAAGCCATTGTCCCGCAAGAAGCTCAGCGCATGATCCACAACCTGCGTGCAAATGTGACATGAGAGGAAGCTTCGTAGACAGTGTTGAAGAAGTCGACACAAGATTAACTTGAAACTTACCGAGCGAGAATGGGTCACATCACGAATTAGAATTTTGAATCGGTTGCCATAGAGCTGACCTAGCGTCAACTGCTCCCTGGCCAACCAAGCACCACCTGGCATTGATGTCCAAGGTCAAGGACGCAGAGAAAGCAGCATTTCATCAAACGCCAGTTTGCCCCTCGTTGCATTTCGCACGCGCTCGCGACGAGTCTGATTCTCTCCCGAGCGAGCCGGGGGTGCGGTCTGTTCCCTGGCAAAAATACCAGGGGAAAAAAAAAAAAACAGGGAGTCGAGGAAATTAGCATGACACGAGCCTCTCGTACCGAGTTCGATCTGCAAATCACTCAAGGCCTGTTGCTGTTGAAGCACCTGAGCTGGCGTGACACCTGTACAGAGGGTATGGCGCGGGCTTTGAGACCATGGTCGTACCACGGTTTGGTGACCCAGGCTTGGGGACAGATACGTACCACGAAGTGTCAGCAGCTGCGTTGTGATGGCTCGTTTGTCCTTGGTACCTGAACCCAACGACATGAGATAAGGCGCTTGGAAGCAAAACACGATCACTTGAATGACAGGCATGACAAGCTTTTCGTGGGAAACCGACCTGCAACGCCGACATGGGATGTGCGAATGGCAAAGAGGTTGGCGATTTCTTCCAAAAAATGTGAAGTCTCGAGTCCCTGCTTGCGCATGACGACGGCCGTCACCGAAACTAGATCAGTCGCATCTCGGTCGGCTGCTGTGCGCTTGGCCTGATGAGATGAGGCAAGTCAGTACGTCAGATGTGGTTTACTGTATTGGGCAAATAGGGCAGGCCACGTGGCAGAACAACGCAGCGGGTCAACGGACCGCTGGCTTGAATGCCAGCGCGAACCTCGGCTAGTTGGTGTGTGTACGAGTATCACACCTACCTTTTGTCGCTTGGGGCGGAGGCGAAATTCCATGCACAGGTCTTCATCTGGACCTGGCAAGGTTTTGGTAGTGAGCATTTTCAGCTGTCGGTTGACGATGTGGTGAATCTATCCACATACGACGAGCAAGGACGTTGGCGCAGGCCCCTGAGGATTTCAGGACACGAGGTGGCGCGTAAACTCATTGGCTTCCGATACGACAGGACTTGGTCAAACCTTCGTGCGATGCTCTTTGTTTTCCGTGATAGGCACTCGAATAGGCCTGTACGAGAGAGATTAGAGAGAGCGGGCGGGCGGGAGAGAGAGAGAAAGAGAGAAAGAGAGAAAGAGATTAGAGATTCGAGAGAGATTCGAGAGAGATTCGAGAGAGATTCGAGAGAGATTCGAGAGAAAGATTCGAGAAAGATTCGAGAGATTCGAGAGATTCGAGAGATTCGAGAGATTCGAGAGAGAGAGGATAAAAAAAGAAAAGGTGAGGCAGAAGCATGATCGATCTGGAAGAGGAGAGCCAGTGAGGCGGGCCTACCCTTGCTCAAGCTTGAACAACAGCCGAAAGACGGCATGCAGATGAGCAGTGGGTAGCAGTCCCCGCAACTCGAGGGCGGCCGGGTGTATCCGTGCCGTGAAGCCCGCCATTTCGTCGTCCTAGATGAGCAGCTTTGACGTAAACGCGAGCGTCTGGAACATAATATTCCTCAGTGCCAGCCAATCAACTTCCGGGTGACACACCTCACCACGAAACGCATCGCACATCAAATGTGGATAGAGTTGATTGACGGCGCGATAAACGTCGACTCGCGCGTCTTTTCCCAGGGTATCACGGAAAAGACAAACGGTCTAGGAGATGAGGGTGTCCAGGCAGGCAAACGATTGGAACTTTTGAGCCGATTACGGCCATGGAGGTGTTGGGTGCAAGCGTCGGGCCCCGGTACCTTTTCGGGCATGGGCGTAGCAGGGTGATCGAGATCAAAGGCGTTCAGGCCCTTTTGCCAGCCAGGTTGCAGGTGCGTCTCCAGAATATCGAGGGGTGGGGTCGTGCTGCAAGCGAGGTCAGCAGAAGTTGTGCTAGCAGCACTCGGAATGGTGTTTGATGCTGCGGCCTCCTCCGTTTTAGGGGCCTCGGGCAGCAACAATACATCCGGAGGTTGATATTGTGTCTCGAGGGTGACCTGAAAAAAAAAAAAAAAAAAAAAAAAAAAAAAAAAAAAAAGAAACTGAGGACTTGGAAAAAAAAAAATAAAGGTTGCAGGCTGGATCTGAGGAAGCAGCAGGTGTACTCACCACGTTGCCAGCAAGATCCACTTCGTCGACAACAAAGTCAGCTGGCTCAGTCTTGAGAGTGCCGCTAAAACGAGCCCCACTCGCACGGTGCGGCGGCTGGGCCAGGCGGCGATCCTCCTGACACTCCACGGCACTCTTCATAAAGTTCAACGCTGCCATGGTCCTTTGTATCACCTGATGAATCTGGGTGGCTAGCTGACTCTCAACAATCAGCCCGACCCATACAGGGCATTGACTCCGCCGTCAGCCTCCGACAGCAGCAGCAGCAGCAGCAGCAGCAGCGATCAGACGGCGCTGGACATGTGCGCGCTGACAATTCAAGGTCCGACGACAGCAGCGACGTTAACCCAAATTTAATCTGCATCAACTCGCTTATTTACGTCACAAAAGTATGTGTATCTTCAACAATATTTAGTGCACAAATCAGTGAAAATCCACGACACAGCTATAAACAACTGCAATAACCCTAAAGTTGTCGTCAATAAATTGATTTGCTTTGGGTTCTCCTTGATCATGTAAGAGGTTCATGTAGCAGTTTCGGCAGCGGTAGCATCTCTCTCTCTCTCACTCATCTCGCGGTGAGCTCGGTTGCTGGATCCATCCCCGGACTCGTACGGTGGGCGGCAGACTGCTTACACTGAGCCAGCCAAAAGACTACGTTGTGGCACGCTCATGAGCAACGCGGACAAGTTGATCATCGTCGCTGAGAGAGGGCTCCGCTGGTCTTGCAACCCCTCCCCCACCTTCGCTGATTTTATTTTTTTTGCCCTTCCGAGTAATCCTCTTCCTTGACTTTTGAGTGGAGGCCGTGGTTCCTTCTTCTCCTATACAATACAGAGCCACATCTCAGCCTTGGGGCTATTCACACCACACACACACACGCCTTGTTGGGGACTTCATCACCATCACACCCGGCTGCTTGGAGCCCGTGCGCCATCGTTCATTCTCACTGCACTTGTACCGCCCGTGTCAAGGTCTTGCTTAGGAACCCACGCAGCTCATCACAGCGTAGTGCGTTGGAAAGGTGGATGGCGCTGGCGTGGCGGCAGCTTTGTACGGGACGCACATCTTGGCGCCTGGCCTGGCCTGTCTTGCACGCCCGACCCGCACATTTTACAATGTCCACGGATCAAGCCGCTCAACCGACTGAATCCACAAACACCACTGCACCGACCACCATGGCTACAACCCACAACTCCGAAGTGGCTGCTATGCGCAAAGACTACAACACGCGCCCCTTCAAGACGGAAGAGGCCGCAGAGGATCCTTTGCGCCAATTTGATACTTGGTTCAATGCCGCGCTCACGGCAGGCCAGGATGAGCCCAATGCTATGACTCTGGCCACGGTCGACTCCAACGGCTGGCCCAATGCGCGCATGGTCCTGCTCAAGGGCTACGACGGTGCCCGCTTCCGGTTTTTTACCAACTACAAGTCGCAAAAGGCCGCAGAACTGGAGGATGGCAAAGCTGCGCTGGTCTTTTGGTGGCCAACTTGTCACCGCCAAGTGCGCGTCCGCGGCCGTGTCGAACGTCTTCCTGCCAAAGAGTCGGACGAGTACTTCAATAGCCGTCCCCGTGGCTCCAAGATTGCTGCCATCTGCTCCAAGCAGGGCCAGCCCCTCAAGGATCGCGAAAGTTTTGAACGCAAGGTTGAGGAGCTAGACCGTAGCCAGGATGATGTTGAACGTCCTGATTACTGGGGTGGCTTTGCAGTGATTCCCGAGCAATACGAATTTTGGCAAGGGCAGAGCTCGCGCCTGCACTACCGTCTGACCTACCATCAAGACTCGGAAGGTGCCTGGTCTCAGGAGATTCTGTACCCTTAAAGTCTGTAGAATTTTGCCACATCTTTCTATTCCGCACTGTTTCGGTGGTGGGCGACCATCGGACACGCCTCCTGCCTCCTCTTCGCCCCGTGTTGTTTCCCACCAATTGACGTGAATGTTTCCTTCTCGATCTGGAAGTCCGATCCAAAGTCACATCTTCCAAGCCACATCTCTGCAGCCCTTCCTTGCGCTCCCCTAACCCTCAACGTATTCATGCCCTATTCATCTTTCTCCATCTTGTCAGTCATGGCCATCTCAGCTTTCGCCTCGTCCGTCTCCTCCGCCATGTTCAGCGTCCATCTGTCCAACTCCATCCCCCCGCCGCCCTGTATCAAACGTCCAACTGGCCTTCTCTCGCCCTTTTCCCTTTCTGTTTCTGTGTGTGTGTGTGTGTGTGTGTGTGTGTGTGTGTGTGTGAGCAAAACC